AAAAAGAGAGAAATACTGGGGTGCCTGGGTGGCTCAGTGGGTTAAAGCCTCTGCCTTCCGCCTAGGTCATGGTCCCGGGGTCCTGGGATCAAGCCCCATGTCAGGCTCCCTGCTCGGCGTGGAGCCTGCTTCCTCCTCTCTCTCTGCCTGCCTCTCTGCCTACTTGTGATCTCTATCTGTCAAATGAATAAATAAACTCTTAAAAAAAAAAAGAAAGATACTCAACATTACTAATCATTAGGGAAATATAAATTGAAATCACAATAAGATATATCACCTCACACCCAATAGGGTGGTTACTTTTTGTTTGTTTGTTTTACTATCAAAAAAACAGAAGAGGATATGGAGAAATTAGAACCCTTGTGCACCGTTGGTGGGAATGTAAAATGGTGGCCACTATGGAAAACAACATTTCTTCACAAAATTAAAAATAGAATTATTGTGTGATCCAGCAATTCCACTTCTGGGTGTATATCCAAAAGATTGAAAGCAAGGTCTCAAAGAGGTATTTGTATACCAGTGTGTCATAGCAACATTATCCGCAGTAGCCAAAAGGTGAAAGCAACTCAAGTGTCCATTGGCAGACAAATAGATAGATAAAATGTGGTACATAAAATCAAATATTATTCATGCTTAAAAAAGAAGGAAATTCCGACACGGGCTTTAACATGGATGAACATTGAGGACATTAGCTAAGTGAAATAAGTCAGTCACAAAAAGAGAAATACTGTGTGATTCCACTTTTATGAGATCTCTAAAGTCAGATTCATACAAAATAGAATGATTGTTGCCAGTATTAAGGGAGGGGGTACATGGTGAGCTATTGTATAGTGAAGGTTAGAGATGTGTTTTTACAAGATAAAAAAGTTCTGGAGATTGTTTGCATGCAATATGAATATACTTAACAGTACTAAACTGTATGCTTAAAATGGTTAAGATCATAAATTTTATGTGTTTTTTACCACAATTTGAAGTATTAATAATTAAAATAATAATATTAACTTATTTCTCAACCATCCCATCCAATAGGAGCTGCCATTATTCCCATTTTAATCTTGGTAGGCCCTAACATAGTTGGCCCTTATTAAATACTTGTTTAATCAATCTGTAAATCAAACCACCACTTTCTTTCCCTTTGTATCCCAAAGCAGAATAGGAGGCAATGCACCAAATTCAGAAAGACTAGAGAAATGTCAAACTATGCTCACAGTAAACAAACTCTGAGAGTAGGAATAGAAAGCCACTAGAACTGCAGCTACTAAGTGAGACCTGAAGCAATTTGGGGGTCTCAAGCTAAACCTTGGGTGCCAAAGGCATCTATGCTTGGCCATAATGAAGACTAAGGACATGCCTAACTCCTATGCTAGATGATTTACAATGCCATGAAACCTGTGAGATCTTGAATATTAAAGTTTCTAATTAAAGCAATCATAATCTTTATTTAATTGCTCTTTTTAAATCACTCTTTCCAATACTACTATAGTCTGCAAACCTATGAGAGTTTGGGGTATTTTTGTCCTTCTCCCTAGGCTTAAGCAATTAATGAAATCAAGGCATTTGAGTAAAATTTTTCATTTGAACAACTTCCAACTCACTAATGTTTATACATGGAAATATATTAATACAGAATTAAAACAAAAACAAAAACAAAAAAACTTCCCCCTCCCTGAAATCCCCACAGTGTCAAAATGTTCTCACCCACACATCCCCCAAGGGTGCTAGATAGACCACATTGAAAACATGGTTGCTCTAGAGCTGGAAGGAGCTTACAGGTCATTCTCACCTGGGCCTGAGCCTGAGAAGTGAATGAGGTCACAGTTGTATGATGGAACAAACCCTTTATTGGATTCTTGATCTGATTGAAGCCCAGAAGTGGTAGGTAGCACGGCTTAAAAGTAGGCAAATATCTGGATTTTGTAGGAATCGATGCTGAGTCCTTTTTTTTTTTTTTAACCAATTGTCTCTATGAGAAATTGAAGGTAGTTTGTTTTTTTTTTTTTAAGTAATGATTATTTTGCGCCCTGAGGATGATTTCACAGCACATTTCAAGTGCCTAAGTTATTGAGCCTCTCCGGAGTCCCCAGCTCTGTGGTAGGTTTCCAGATTTTGAACAATGTAACTGAGTTGTTTAGAAACAACTGGCTTTCCAGGCTCTGAGGTGAAGATATAGGAAAATGGACCAAACTGTAATCACACATCCAAAGACTTTTTCTTTGTAGTTTCATAGTATTTGTCTATCATTCCTAAATCGGCAACCCAGTATTCTTGTCAGTGAACCACCTAGTACAGTCTACACTTTGAAAATTGTAATTGGAGAGGTAAAACCAACAATAAAAGGGGGAAGCCTTACCAACCCATCTTCTAGTCCATAGGCTGCTGAAGTGGAAAGGGAGGACTAGGGAGGCTCTAGTGGTTAAAAGTCCATCCAGGAAGGTCTAGGCTGGCAAAACAGCATTGTATTCCACCTCTGCTCCTACTTACCAAATGGGTTCCCATACAGTGAGTTCATAAGAACTGACAGGACAGGGCCGGACCTCCCAAAAGGAAATTCTGAAAAATCTATTTATTACCAGGCAGGTATCCAAGACATAAACAATCAGGTAAATATTTTAAAGATGCTGTAACATTTTACTCTCTGTTGATTATAACATGAAATGTTCTACTGATTTCAAAAATAAATTTTGTCTTTATTCAAGTTATTTAAATAAGTTTTTGTACATATTTCCAGGATGCTTTATCTATGTCACGTGGTATCACTTATTTTTATATATGATCAGAATGACATTATTTGAAGGGGGGAGACAATGATAAGACTTTTTTTTTCTTCCAACTGTTTATTTTTTTTAATCATTTTTTTAATTTATTTTCAGCATAACAGTATTCATTGTTTTTGTACCACACCCAGTGCTCCATGCAGTCCGTGCCCTCTCTAATACCCACCACCTGGTTCCCCCAACCTTCCACCCCCCCACCTCTTCAAACCCTTCAGATTGTTTTTCAGAGTCCATAGTCTCTCATTGTTCACCTCCCCTTCCAATTTCCCCCAACTCCCTTCTCCTAACTCCCCATGTCCTCCAAGCTATTTGTTATGCTCCACAAATAAGTGAAACCATATGATAATTGACTCTCTCTGCTTGACTTATTTCACTCAGCATAATCTCTTCCAGTCCCGTCCATGTTGCTACAAAAGTTGGGTATTCATCCTTTCTGATGGAGGCATAATACTCCATAGTGTATACGGACCACATCTTCCTTATCCATTCGTCCGTTGAAGGGCATCTTGGTTCTTTCCACAGTTTGGCAACCGTGGCCATTGCTGCTATAAACGTTGGGGTACAGATGGCCCTTCTTTTCACTACATCTGTATCTTTGGGGTAAATACCCAGTAGTGCAATTGCAGGGTCATAGGGAAGTTCTATTTTTAATTTCTTGAGGAATCTCCACACTGTTCTCCAAAGAGGCTGCACCAACTTGCATTCCCACCAACAGTGTAAGAGGGTTCCCCTTTCTCCACATCCCCTCCAACACATGTTGCTTCCTGTCTTGCTAATTTTGGCCATTCTAAGTGGTGTAAGGTGATATCTCAATGTGGTATTAATTTGAATCTCCCTGATAGCTAGTGATGATGAACATTTTTTCATGTGTCTGATAGTCATTTGTATGTCTTCATTGGAGAAGTGTCTGTTCATATCTTCTGCCCATTTTTTTATATGATTGTCTGTTTTGTGTGTGTTGAGTTTGAGGAGTTCTTTATAGATCCTAGATATCAACCTTTTGTCTGTACTGTCATTTGCAAATATCTTCTCCCATTCCGTGGGTTGCCTCTTCGTTTTGTTGACTGTTTCCTTTGCTGTGCAGAAGCTTTTGATTTTGATGAAGTCCCAAAAGTTTATTTTGGCTTTTGTTTCCTTTGCCTTTGGAGACATATCTTGAAAGAAGTTGCTGTGGCTGATATCGAAGAGATTACTGCCTATGTTCTCCTCTAGGATTCTGATGGATTCCTGTCTCACATTGAGGTCTTTTATCCATTTTGAGTTTAACTTTGTGTACGGTGTAAGAGAATGGTCGAGTTTCATTCTTCTACATATAGCTGCCCAGTTTTCCCAGCACCATTTATTGAAGAGACTGTCTTTTTTCCACTGTATATTTTTTCCTGTTTTGTCGAAGATTAACTGACCATAGAGTTGAGGGTCCATATCTGGGCTCTCTACTCTGTTCCACTGGTCTTTGTGTCTGTTTTTATGCCAATACCATGCTGTCTTGGTGATCACAGCTTTGTAGTAAAGCTTGAAATCAGGTAACGTGATGCCCCCAGTTTTATTTTTGTTTTCCAACATTTCCTTAGCGATTGGGGGTCTCTTCTGGTTCCATACAAATTTTTGGATTATTTGCTCCAGCTACTAGAACTCATACAGCAATTCAGTAACGTGGCAAGATACAAAGTCAATGTACAGAAATCAGTGGCTTTCTTATACACTAACAATGAAAATACAGAAAGGGAAATTAGAGAATTGATTCCATTTACTATAGCACCAAGAACCATAAGATACCTGGAAATAAACCTAACCAAAGAGGTAAAGGATCTGTACTCGAGGAACTACAGAACACTCATGAAAGAAATTGAAGAAGAACAAAAAGATGGAAGACCATTCCACGCTCTTGGATTGGAAGAATAAACATTGTTAAAATGTCTATACTGCCTAGAGCAATCTATACTTTTAATGCCATTCCAATCAAAATTCCACCGGTATTCTTCAAAGAGCTGGAGCAAATAATCCAAAAATTTGTAATGATAAGACATTTTGCTTAGAGATCTTGGGGCAGTGAAGCTGTCCTTCCACACGGCCTTCCAACTTTGCACACACCTCTAACTTGAATTTGCGCATATAACCATTCCTCAAGGCTCTGGACTTCAAACTCTAGATCTTGAGCTAGGAAATTTGCAAAAGAAAATTGAAGAATTAATCTGTGATTTGATCCTATTTGTATCTGAATTCCAGACAGAGTTATTGACCCCATGGCAGTTTCTGACATTAAAGCAAAACTTCAGCTGAATCCTCTAACTAAAGTACCCAGCTCCCATGGCAAGAGGTAAGTAATGAATGTATTCAGGTGATAGATTAAGGTAAAGAATTTTTTTTTTTTTTGCTTCAGATTTTACTTATTTAGGGACGCCTAGTGGGTCAAGTCAGTTATGTGTCCACCTTCAGCTCAGGTCATGATCCTAAGGTCCTGGGGTTGAGCTCCTTGTTCAGCAGGGAGCCTACTGCTGCTCCCTCTGCCTGCCACTCCCCCTGTTTGTGATCTCTCTCTCTCTCACACACAAATTAAATAAAATCTTTTACTAGTTTAGAGAGAGAAAGAACATGCATGCATGAGCAGGGGGAAGGGCAGAGGGAGAGGAAAGAGAACTTCAAGCCAACTCTGCTCTGAGCATACAGCCCGACTAGGAGCCTGATCTCATCACCCTGAGATCAGGACCTGAGCCAAAATCAGGAGTCAGACACCCAACTGACTGAGCCATAGGTGCCTCAAATAGATTAAGATGAAGAATTATTAAGGTGATAAATATTTTAAATACCCATAAGGGCTATGAGTAAACAAGTTAGAAGGCTCTTCAAGTACCCTGTGATAAATTTAGTTATAAAACCAAATATATGAATTGAAGATAAAGGGGTTTTTTATGAAAAGAAAAGGATATGTATCCTTTTAGATTGGAGAAACAAAAGTTATTTTTCCTATTCCCCCGATTGAGAGGGAATTTTTGTGTGGGGGATCAGAATATCCTGGAGGGCTTAAGAAGTTGTCAGTAATACATTAAGATATTTTGAGTGCCAATTTAAAGGAGAATAAAGTTAGAGGATCAGGAAGAAGACCTAATCTCCTAAGCAAGTCAGTATAGAGAAAGGGTCTATAGCTCAAATACAGCCAGTAAAACAAAATCTTGGTTAGTCATGACTAACCTTGAGCTAAAACTGAGAAGGGAGATTTGTCTGTGACACTAATACTAGCTTTTTTCTCAGCCTGATAACTACAAATTCCAATAAACCAAAGCCACTAATGACTGAAAATACGATCCTGATCTGTATTTTATCAGAGCATAAGAAGAAAAGCCTCTCTTCTCTCTCAAAACATCCATTTTCTGGACGACTTTGAGAGTATTTCCCCTAGAGCCCTTGACTGTGCCACTGCTACAAGAATAGATTACTGACCTTTTTCGAGGGATGTGGGTAAGAAAACCTTACAGCTGCCAAATCCCTTGATCTCATTATTCCCTTACCCTGCATTACAAGCTGTCTGTCTAGTGACATCCTTGTCATTGAAAATAGTCAAGCAAAGACTTGACAATACCACACATAGAGGGAATTCCTACATGAGATGAGAGGCTAGACTGAGCTCATTCCAAATCTAAGGTATTTCAAACCTTTGAAACATTATAAAATTGAAAGATTGTGTGAGCCAAGATACGATTTGAAATTCTGCCAAGAGTATCCTTTTTTTTTAATGTAGCTAATAAAGACTTCATACTGCCTGGCCTGCTACTTTCCTCTTGCTTCTTCAGAACTCCATATTTCTCCATCTACTGCAACTTTTATATCATGCAAAAGAAATTTGTTTATATTTAGACATACAGCAAATATAAAATAACGTATCTGAGTAAGGGCCAACTTGAGTATTCAGAAGTTCAGATAGGTGATTAGAAAAGAAACATCAGAAGAAGAAGTCAGTGTTAGTAAAAGCAGAGAAAATAAGACTAATTAGGTAAAATTCCATGTCGAAAAGGAATGGTGCATTTTGAGACCTTATCACCTCAATTTTACTAGGCCCATCTTTGAAAATGAGTTGAACCTACCAGATACTCTAGAGGATACTAAATTCATAAACCATAACTTTTTAAGTGCACCATGTTTATTATTTCTTCCTGCTTCACTTTTTAAACTGCTTCTTGTAAAAACAAAAACTCAGAGATTCCATGTTAAAATTTTCAGTTTTGTACCAAAGCTAAATATTTTTTAAATTAATTTCTAAAATCATGATTACTTAAGTCTACTTGTAAATGACCATATTATAAGCAAACTCAGTTTTGCATAATATATTTTTATGTTCCTAAACTAATAACCTCCTGCAGATCTGTACAAAATATACCCAAAGTATTAATACGTTTTCTCTTTTTCCAGATTTTTTCTGAGAAAGTGAAAAGTCACCCAGGGCTCCAGACTTTCCAGAAGTGCTCTCTGTCTCAGATGACAGATAAATAGATAGACAGGCAGATGATAGATAGTTGATACATATATAGATGCTATAAGTTATAGATGTAGTTGTAGATATATCTACCTCTATCTAATATGCTGGTAAAAATATAGTTTAGCAATTAAAGTCATAAGATAAATATCATTACAAAGCTTTCAGGATATTCACTGTAAGAGTATTTATACCACTGAAAAATTTGAAACAACTTCTATTTCTAGCAATAGGAATAGTGTAGGGCTTATGTCCTTGAGCTTCGGAGTCAGATAAACCTGAGTTTGAATCCCATGACTTTCACCTGTTACCTGTACAATTTGGGACAAGTTATTTAATCCCTCTGAGATTCAGTTTCCTCTTCTGTAAAATGGAGAAAATCAGATATTTTAAGAGCAATGGACAGGTATAGGGCAGATGTGGACCTCACTGGCCAGCATTTCCTCACTGTCCCTCCTATAACTATTGACAGGTGACAGTAACAGGTCCCTTAGGAGGTGAGACTCTGGATATATTGTGACGCGTACAGTCATTCCATTCAGCAAAAGCCGATGAATAGAACTAATATTTGCGGGTTTCATGTATGTATTGAATCTTTTCATGTCTTTTGCTCAGGGGTAAAGGTTTACCAGGATCTCTCCCCTGCCAAAGCAAAGAAAAGAAGCTGAATGCCTCACAAATGCAAGGTAATGACAATAATCCTTCAGACGGAAGCATCAACTAATGCCCCTTGATGAATCTGACCATTTTCTTCTCTAAGAGAGATCTGCAGTTTCAAGAGTTATCTGTACAACTTTTGCTTTTTGAGAGCAAAAGTTCTAATTCAATGTCTAATTTGTGAGAAGGAAGAGGGACGACTTTCAAACAGACATCTTCCTAGAATTTGGATAATCCTGGTCAAATATTTTTATTCAAATAAGAACTCGCAAGCATACGAAAGAACAAATGCAAAGTCAAATAGAAATCAAATAATGGGGCAGTATAAATAGCTATACTGGCTGTAGTTTATTAGTCCAAACAGCAAATATTTATTTAAAGCCCACAGTATACCAAGCATGGGAAACATAACAAGTAACAAGTCAGACATGTTCACTGCCCAGATAAGGAATGAAGTCAGGCCATTAAACCATGAATTTTTGACTGAAACATTTAAATCACAGTATAACACAAGTTATGATGGGGAAGTATAAAGTATTTCAGGAGCATAAAAGAAAGACCTGACTTGGTCTTGGGAGAGTAAGAGGGGAGTCCCAGAGAAGGTGGGATAATAAGTAGGAGGCAAATAGTGCAAAAGAAGTGTTCTGGGCAGAAAGAGTGGAATCTGCAAAGGCCCAAAGGAAAGGGAAAACATGACTCCCTGGAAAAAAGAAACAGAAAAAAAGGGAAGAAAGAAATAAAGAAAAGAAAGAAAGAGAAAGTCAAGCATGGCTGTGTTTGGGTTCTGGAAGGCTAGTGCATCACCCCTCCAAGTTTGGAACCACCTGAAAACAAAACAGAAATTTAAGGATCACCTATATTGCTGAGAAAGCTGGCTTGAAAAACACAAAAGATAATCAAAATCAGAATTACATTTTTCATTGTTAAACTGAGCTAAGTGCCTTAATAATAAGTTTCAGCCTTCTAAAATTGTAAGGTTCCTAACGTGCATTCATATACATTGGTGCTTGTATTTTTTTAAGACTTTTATTTTATTTATTTATTTGACAGAGAGAGAGATCACAAGTAGGCAGAGAGGCAGGCAGAGAGAGAGGGGGAAGCAGGCTCCCTGCTGAGCAGAGAGCCCAATGCGGGGCTGGATCCCAGGACCCTGAAATCATGACCTGAGCCGAAGGCAGAGGCTTACCCCACTGAGCCACCCAGGCGCCCCCATTGCTACTTGTATTAAGGGTTCCCAGGATCTATTTTTTTTAGGATTGTATTTATTTTATTTAAGAGGGAGAGGGGGATACTCAGAGGGAGAGAGTCTCAAGCAGACTCCATGCTGAGCACAGAGACTGACACAGGGCTCAATCCCACCACCCTGAGACTTGAACCAAAACCAAGAGTCAGACGCTGAACCCACCAAGCTACCCTGGCACCCCCCGACCCAGGATCTATTTTAATCAGGTATTATCAGACATACAGACACAGAAATGACTGTCAAAGAAGAAGAAGTATTTTATGTTCATAGATCTCTAGAAATAAGAGGCAAAGGACAGCAGGAAGGGCCACACAGCACTATAGTCAGTCAGGAGGCAAGTAGGGGGAAGTGGGCAAGAGCCTTTCCTGTGGTTTCTGAGGAAGGAACAGGTTTTAAACACTATATGCTAACAAATCTCAAATGTATATGTCTAGCCCATGCCTTTCTCCCCAGCTCCAAGCTCATATCTGATTGCCTCCTTGACACCTCCAATTGTATGTCTAATAGACACCCAAAATCGACATGTCCAAAATGGAACTCCTGATGGGCTCCTCATACTCATTATTGTGATAAAATACATATAACATAAAAATTACAATTTTGGGGCACCTGAGTGGCTCAGTCAGTTAAGCATCTGCCTTCGGCTCAGGTCATCATCCCAGGGTCCTGAGATCAAGTCCCACATTGGGCTCCCTGCTCATCAGGAAATCTGCTTCTCCCTTTGCCTACCTCTCTCCGTGTTCATGCTCTCTCTCTGTCTCTCTCAAATAAATAAATAAAATATTTTTTAAAAAATACAATTTTAACCATTTTTCAAGTATATATGTACAGGTCAGTGCATTAAATATATTCACTAGTTCTACAGCCATCACCACATCCACCTCCAGACATTTTCATCTTCCCAAATTGACCCGCCATACCCACTAAACAGTGGCTCTTCCCCACGTCCTCTTACTCTTAAAACATGCTCTACCCACCGCCTTCAGCATCTCCTTTCACTGCTCTGGAAGAAATCTTGGAGTCATCCTTGACTCTTCTGACTCAACCTACCTGTCAGTCCATCAGGAAATCTCATTGGCTCTACCTTTAACATATATCTAGAAGCAGCCAATTCCTACCACCTGTGCTACAATCGTGGTCTGAGGCACGTTGCTGCTCACCCACAACAGCCCCCGACACTAATCTCCATTCTTCTACCCAAACCCTTACAAAAGTCTGTTTTTCTAACAAAAGCCAGAGTGATCTTGTTAACTCATGAGTCGTGTGGGAGTAAGGGAAGGAGCTGACCTCAGGAACTTCGAAAATGGTGTTTTGACTAGAAACTCTTAAGACTGAACACCAAAGGATCTATACATAAACCACGTACTCTAGCCAGTACAGTTGTTTCTCATTAGGAGGACAGCATAACAATTCTGAAGCTGTTGTACATGTCTACTAGGATGAATAACTCAGTAGATGGATGGTGGATGCTGGGAACCAAGTTTCCCACTGCTGGAGTGGGCAGTTACAGATAAACAAGGGGAGAAGGCCAAAGTGAACCACTGGTACTGGCTTGCGTCTGAGACATTACTGTGAGCTCATGTGAACTCAGGTTTAACTTCATATGGATACCGATGGATGGATCAAGAAGTAAATGTGTGTGTGTATACATGCGTTAGTATTCACGCACATACGTCCTAGCTCTGTCTGCTGAGAGGACTTAGAAGCTGTGACACCCCCCAGCAGCACGCAGATCCAGCCGCCAGATCTGGACTTCTAACGCCAGCCTCCTGTGAAAGAAGCAGAGTTGCTTGGATAAACGGCCAATTCTAGGGCCCACGCAGGGATAACAAGACAAACCTGGGACATCTTATAGTGACAGAAAGAAAGGGAGTGCTCAAAAAACAATAGGACACGGGAGCCTTTCAAAGGGATGCAGAAGCCAACCTCAACGCGTTCACAATGGTGAAAGCTGGAGCAATTTGGGCAACAAAAATACAATAAATAAGATAGTATTGGGTTATAACTCAAAGTACAAAATAAATACCTGCAAGTCCATACTGACAGAAATAAATGACTGAATTTTTTAATGAAGAAGAGACAAATCTCTCTTACAAGAGAATTCCAAATAATGCATGGAGATATTACCTCCTCCAGGAGGTGGAACGTAAATCCCCATGTTCCCAGCCCTCTGTCCCTTGAGTCTGGACTTCCCTTAGTGACTTGCTTCCAAAGAGTAAAATATGGAAAGGAGGGAAGTTACTTTACAGTGGAAAACCCTGACAAATACTCCCTCAGCCAGGTAATCAAGATAAACATCATTGGTGATAAGTCACTTTGGCAATACATAGCCTTGATAGGATGATGAGAGTAGTACTTCACTTTGGTCACCTTCTTTCCAAAAATGAATCATCTCAGGCTAACCATGAGAAAAACATGAGAAAACCCCAAATTGAAGGACTTCCACAAAATACCTGAATAATATTCCTCAAAACTGTTAAGGTCACCCAAAACAAGAAAAGTCTGAGAAACTGTTACAGAAAAGAGGCTAAAGAATGTGACAATTAAAGTAATATGGCATCCTGGATGGAATCCTGGAAGAGAAAAAGGGCCTTAGGGAAAAACTGATGAAACCTGATCAATGTCTACAGTTTAGTTAAGAGCACTACAGCAATGTTGGCTTCTTAAATGCAGTAAATGTACCACAGTAATGTAAGGTGCTAACATTAGGGGAAACTGAATGAGGGACCAGCACATTCTCTGGGCTATCTTTGCAACTATATCCAAAACCAATCTAAAACAAAATTTAAGGGGCCCCTGGGTGGCTCAGTTAAGTGGCTACCTTTGGCTCAGGTCGTGATCTTGGGGTCCTGGGATCAAGCCCCGCATCGGGCTGCCTTCAGCTCAGGTCATGATCTTGGGGTCCTGGGATCGAGCCCCATATCAGGCTCTCTGCTCAGCAGGGAGCCTGCTCCCCCCGCCACTCTCTCTCTCTGCCTACCTCTCTACCTACTTGTGATCTCTGTCAAATAAAAATAAATAAAATCTTTTAAAAAAATAAAAGAAAATACAGGTCTAATTTGGGCTCCAGTTAATACCCTGCATATGTCTTAGAAAAAAACATTGAGTCTATTCAAAACATTCACCTGCATATAATTTGGGCCCATTGTAGTGCATCAGTTTTCTGTTGCTGCCGTAACAAATTGCCACACACTTAGCAGCTTAAAACAACACAAATTTATTATCTCCCAGTTCTGTGGACTGGAATTCCAGGTGGGCTTGACTAGTTCTTCTTCTCCCAGTCTTCCAAGATCAAATTGAAGGAACTGGCCAGCCTGGCTTCTTATCAAGAGGCTCTGAAGGGGGATGCTTGGGTGGCTCGATTGGTTAAGCATCTGCCTTCAGCTTAGATCATATTCCCAGAGTCCTGGATTGAGTCCTACATTGGGCTTCTTGCTCAACTGGGAGCCTGCTTCTCCCTCTGCCTGCCCCTCCCCCTGCTTGTGCGCTTTCTCTCTCTCTCTCTCTCTCTCTCTCTCTTCTCTGACAAATAAAGTCTTTGAAAAAAACAGAGACTCTGAAGGAAAATCTGCTTCCAAGCTTATTCAGGTTCTTGATGGAACCTAATTCCTTGTGGTTCTAGGGCTGAAGTCCCACTTCCTTACTAGCTGCCAGCCAGGAGCCTCTCTCAGCCCCTGATGGCTATCTGTGTCCCATGTCACATTGTCCCTTCCATCTTCAAACCAACAACAGAGTCCTTGTCATGCTTTGAATCTCTCTGATCTCTCCTCCTGCCACAGCTCTCTTGCTTCTAGCGGCCCAGAGGACTCTGTGATTAGATTGGGCCCACTCAGTAATCCAGGGTAATTTATCTTAATTATATCAGCAAAGTCCCATTTGTCATGGAAGTAATACATTCACAGATTCCAGGAATTAAGGTGTGGACAGCTTTCAAAGACCATTTTACCAACGTATTTTGTTTTCAACCAAGTAGTTTATTCCAAATCAAATCTCATGGAAGGACACTGTCCCTTATATGAAATGTCTATTAAGTACTCATTTTTCTCTCAATACCTTTTCAGAACATGATGTCCAGACTATATAATCAGTCCTAGTTCCATTAGAATATGTACTTATTCTTGATTAACTGCCCAACTGACTTAATTACATTTCCTCAGCCTTCCAAGATGCCTACAACTTCTTTAACAAGGATAAAACTGGCTGTATTGATTTACATGGAATGATGTGCACTTTAGCTAAGCTGGGAATGAATCTAACGAAGCGTGATGTCTATAATGAATTAAGATGTGCTGATATTGATCGTGAGTACTTTAACTTGTAATTATTTTTCTCATAAAAGCTTTTTACAAATACATATTTTTCTTTCAATGATTATAAAAACAGAAGAAAAACTTCATTATCAAAAGTACATATATGCATTCCTCTTTAAAGATATCAGTATGGTATGTGTACAAGTTACAAAATCAAATTAATGCAAAAAAAATCTAATGCTACCAAGTAGACTATTCTTTGAAAAATCCTATGTGGAAACTAAAAATGATTATCACATTTCAACATTAAATTCAGATTACCTATCGTGATGTACACTTTGGAGGGTGCCTTGAAATAACAGATACAAAGGCATTGACAGTTTCAAAAAATGACACGTTACCAAGAAAATCCAAGCCCTTTGTTTCCATTTGAATCACGTTAGTACAAATCTTCCTTTGATCCATGGAGCCCACCTATATTGAATTTTAAATGCCACAGCATTTATGTTGATATTTTTTAAAATTTTAGATATTATTTCCTTTGAATATACGGACCTAGTGATTATAACCTGAGCTGATATGTATGATTATAACCCAAGCTGATATGGAATATATAGTCAGCAAATTATCTCCTCTTCACCTCTCCCCACCCAACTGCCAGTGCCCCATTTAATTAGCGTAAGTTCCATGTGTGAATCAGTGTCACCAGTTAATTAAGGTGTCACTTGTTGCCACTAACTCTGCCCAATTTTCCTGTCCTTGCCTCAAAACATGCACACCTGCCTCTAATAGTACTATCCTAGTTAGAAGAGACTGGGTACAATTTGGGGGTTTTAGAATAATAGAAATATCAGAGGTTAGAAGGGATTGGGAAAGCAGGAGTGGATTCCTTGCAAAAATGGCAAGTCTCTCAAAAAGGTGTGAGTGAATAGGACTGCAGGGGCTGGGGGCCCCTAGTTTGGTGTTTGTACCCCACGATTGCTTCTGGCAGCTGTGGGTGACTCACCTAATGGTGCCAAAACCACTTCAAGAAGACCAGTGCTTTCCTGAGCGCATCTGTAGCCTTAACGTGTGGTCTGACTTTAAGTATTGGACAGTCCCGTGTGTTTTCATTTTCTATTTAGTATATAATCTGATGACTAAAACGCATCTGATATTCTTGTTCTGAGCCTTTGATTTCTGTTGCAGAAGACGGGAAGGTGAATTTCTCAGATTTCATAAAAGTCCTAACAGATACGAACCGCTTCCTGAAAGCTGTGGGTGAGTAGAGATATTGCTGAACGTGGCCCTTGTGTGGCTGCGATTCGCCGCACAGTAACCACTATTCCTCTAGGCCTCCAAGCAGGGACAAGTGAGGGAGGTGTACACTGGCAGGAACTCCAAAACAATATTTGCTAAGCAAAGTGATACAATTTTATAATTTTAACTTAAATACATCAAGTCCTTCTGCAGGAGACACTGCTTTTTGGTCTCCAATGCAGAACACATGGAATAGTGTAGAAAAATTCGGTCCCCTCTTATAATATTCCTCACCCAGTGCATGTGCTACTCTGGGAGGTACTCCCTTTACATATGAAAAAAAAATTTTTTACAAAAAGAAAAATGTTCTCTCTCCTGAAAATTTGGGGCATCGATAATTCACTATTCCTAAAAAATATCTTCCTCACCCTGAGGAAGTCTGTCCTCAGTGTGACAACAGGAGAGTCGGCTGGAGGCTAGAGAGCGTGATCTCACACAAGGTCATAAGTGATGTAGACGTGTCCCTGGCATGCTGTTATTAGTCCTCTGATGGGTTTTTTTTTTAAGATTTTATTTATTTATTTATTTGACAGACAGAAATCACAGGTAGGCAGAGAAGCAGGCAGAGAGAGGAAGGGAAGCAGGCTCCCCGCTGAGCAGAGAGCCCGACATGGGGCTCAATCCCAGGACCCCGGGATCATGACCCGAGCCGAAGGCAGAGGCTTTAACCCACTGAGCCACCCAGGCGCCCCCTCTGATGGTTTTTTTAGGAGTTTAACAGTCTACCTTGGAAAAACTAACCGCAATTTGTATCATGTTTTCTGGGGTAAATAAATTCTAAATTCCAAATACTGTGTATGCTTTCGAAAATACATTCATTCATAGGCTGTAAACTGTCTTTAGAAGAGACAGAAGCTACTGCTTCAAGTACTATTGTAGTAACGAGGGTTTGCCTGCAAGCCTGAGGCTCGTTTATCAGCAATTCCTTTACCCAGAAGAACGGGACAATAGTCCTTAATACATAAATCATGTTCATGTTAAATGTATTAACTTACAAGTCAATATTTAGTTAGAAGTCATAGCACTAAAAGCATTTTTTAATGATTATTGTGTCTGTTCAGTAATCAAAATGACCTTTCTACCCAATAGAACAAATTTTGAATGTTTTTCTCTAATTCTCTAGTACCTGGCTCAGTATTAATATTGTAAATAGACTAAAAAGACTGTCAGTTTATGACTTTTTTTGACAGATTTTTTTTCAGAAGCCACTTTGAATTTTTTTTTCCCCTTGTAGTTCCAGAAAAGGAGAAATGTTTAGATTTAGCCGGCAACCCAGGGATCCTGTTGTTTGAAATCCTATCAAAGCTTGTAGAGACTTCAGCTTTACCCAGAAGGGCTATAATGGAAATAGTAAGGTAAGTGGCAAAGAAGGGTAAAATCGGCCTTCTCAGAAGCACTTATGAGGACATTTACAAGGCAGTCACCTTAACATCCTACCCCACAGGGTCTGCTCCAAAACAAAGGAGGAAGGGTCTGTGGCAAAGCTCACATGCCCCATGGGACCTTATTCCTTCATCCCAACTGTGCTAACTCTGAAATTGCGAGACTGACCTCAGACCATCTCAGGGCCCACTGAGGGCCTAAGATAGCCAAGAAAGTTCACACTCTTACCCTAGGCTAGAGAATTCCAGAAGAGTAAGACTTTTCCAGGGATGACTTTGGGTGGGCTTGGAAATCTAGTTTGGAAGACACTCCCATTCATGCTGGAACTGCCAGGGGCTCCCAAGAGATCTTTTGACTCTGTGAGGACATAGAGCAATTTTAGACCTCCCAAAGCAGCCGTGGACTGGAGCTGAGCCCAAACTGGACTTGAGACTAGAGGATGAAGAAACATTCTCACACCCAAATGTGCTTTATTCCAGCAAATACCACGAAAGATAAATTTCCTCAAACTATTTATATCATTGCATTATATTGAATATTGCTATTATTCAGTATAATTGCTATTATTCAAGGATAATGTGAATATCCTTGGCTCATCTTCTTTCAAAGCATTCTGCTTCCCCTTTTAGACTTAAAAATACAGAATGTTTTCAGACTCCTCAGTGGATAATCTCTCTGTGCTATCCTATATTTGTCAGATGTGGAACCAGCGGGTACACAAAATTCTATTCTTCATTCCATTTCAAAGGCATTTATTAAATGCCTGCTGTTGGTACACAAATTTGACACACTGCTTAACTTCTCAGCCTTGGTTTCCTCACCTACAAAATGGGACCAAAAAATGGGAACAACAATATTAATACCTACCTTAAAATAATAATAATACCTACTTTATAGGGCAGTTGTGGGGATATGTAATAATACAGGTGAAGTGGTCCAATAAATATTCCTGGAGCTCAGTAAATATTATTATTATGCAGAAGTAGCTAGCATAGTCATAGAACAAATACATTATCTGCTTTAATCCTCACCTCCGTAATGGGCACTATTATCCTCATTTTACAGATGAAAAACCTGCAGTATAATTAGTTAAGTAACTTGCCCAAGAGACAATGGTGCCTAGATTTTAGCACAACAGTCTGATTCCAGAACCAATCCTCTTATCCATCCCCCTAGACTGCCTCTCAGGAAATCTTAGCCAATGTTGGTGTTTTTATTAGGATGACGATTATGTTGTTACTTTTCATATACCTGGTTTCTAAGGAGATCAAGTGTTTAACATGTAGCATTTGCATTTAAGGAAATTAAAATATAAATTGAGAGAAAAAGCCATGAGTAAATATAAAATACTTATGAGGGGCGCCTGGGTGGCTCAGAGGGTTAAGCCTCTGCCTTCAGCTCAGGTCATGGTCCCAGGGTCCTGGGATCGAGTCCCACATCGGGCTCTCTGCTCAGCCAGGAGCCTGCTTCTTTCTCTTCCTCTGCCTGTCATTTCCTCTGTTTGTGCTCTCTCTCTCTCTGGCAAATAAATAAATAAAATCTTTAAAAAAAAAATACTTACGAAATATACAAAAGTGAAAGACACAAAGTATATCACATAATTACTGTCCAGTGAGTGGCAAAGCTCATTCATTTAGTGTCCAAGAAAGCCAGTCTTGAGCTGGATATGGTAGAATTTGATAGGTATTCCCGTGGTTGACGAAAGCATTTTTTGAGCGTTCTGTGCAGAGTTGTGAGTGTGCACTTTACATGCATTAGCTTTTTCCTGGATCACGGTCTCCTGACTGGTCCCTCTGCTTGTACCTTTTGACTCCCACCCCCATGACTTGCCCACTCCACAGTCTGTTCTCAACACTCCCTCTGCCTAGCTGAAGCCTTGACGCCTACAGCACCAGATGATCCTTTTAAAACCACCCCCGGGTCTTTGTCAAATGTTGTCATCTCAGTAGGGCCTTCTCTGGCCTTCTCTGGCCACCCTATCTAAAATTCAGCCCTCCTACCATTCCCCGTCTCCCCTTCTCTATTTTTCCATGCTATCTATCACCTTCTAATATAGTATGTAATTTACTTACTTATTTTGTTTGTAATGTGTTTTCTCATGCTAGAATGTAAGCTCCAAGAAAGCAGGGATTATTTTTGTCTGTTTTATTCACTATTATATCCTTAGTGTCTAGGAAAAAAAAAAAAAAAACTTACACTCAGTAACTCTCTGTTGAATGATCTTATTTAATCACTACTTCAACACTGTGAGATAGTTTCCAACATCCCACTGACAGGCAAGGAGAACAAGGCATGGGAAAGATCAGGCTGTATACCTACCTAGCCCAGATCCCCCTCTAGAGTTTCCATCTGCCTACTGGGTAGTCCCATAGGTACCTCAAACTCAAAATGTCAAAACCTAATTGTCCTCCGTCACCCACCTCCACTTCCACTAGTTCTTCCACTTGGGTTCCAAATCTCAGTGAACGGTCCACCCTCTCACTGTGTTTATCCAACTGCTGAAGACCCATCGTCCTCAGCTGCCGCTGCTCTGTCACTCCCCACATCTAACTAATCATGAAATCCCACCTATTTGACCTCCTAAACCTGCCTCGTAACCATGCACTTCTCTCTACCCCGAGGCTGGGGAGGGGGCACAAAGAAGCAGAGGACTGAGGACAGAACCATAAGGAATTCCCTTGTGGAATGGAAAGAAAAAGAGGGTTCAACAAAGGAAACATTAGTCATCAAGAAGGGAACCAGGATGGTGTGAAGTCAGAGAAGCCCGGGCCACAGAGAAATCCAAACCAGGACAGACTTCCCCCAGGATTAAATGCTAAAGTGAGGCCAAGGGAATTCAGGACTGAAAAGGTAGAGTTAGATTTGGTAGTTAAGATGGTAGTTAAGAAATCATAAGGGGGGGAGGCATGCCTGGTTGGCTCAGTTGGTTAAGTGTCTGCTTCCATCTCAGGTCATAATCCTGGAGTCCCAGGGATCAAGCCCCACATTGGGCTCCCTGCTCAGCCGGTAGTCAGCGTCTCCTTCTGATCCTCCTCCCTGCTCATACTCGCTTGCTCGCTTGCTCTCTCTCTCACTCTCAAATAAATAAATAATCTTTTTTAAAAGAATTAGTGTATTCAGCATATAACTTGCAACTGGAATTTTTTCTTTTTGTCCAACACTTGGACACTTTTTCAGTAGGATTATATAGCACTTTCTATTCATTCTTGGATTACTTTTTTTTTTTCTTTTTTTAGCTATTTCCAAAGAAAATTCCAGGATACCACATTGGGAATGCCGTGGAGTCCCTACACTGTGGGTTATGGGAAAAGGAGATTGAAGCCAGACATCAGCACACCTCCAGCCTCAAGCACAGCTGCCTTTGCTAATGCTGCCCGGATCTCAATAATGAAAGAAAAGGATTTACTTAAATTTCTTGAAGAGATCAAGAGTAAGAACCATTGATAAATGGTTCCCTCCCCATTATTGTAAAGGACTTGTTTGTATATTACTAGTCAGAAATACTAGAGGCCAAGCGCTAAAGTAGCTGGACCACAGCCTATTCCGAGTGACTGGCCTCTGTCACAAAGGCATCATTTGAAAGCAAATCTACATCTTCACCTGTATCCTCCTGATACAGGTGAAGCCTGGAGATTGGATGAAGCCTAGGATCTACGGATGGGGAGGGGGGTGAGGAGAGTGAAAAGAGGGGTCATGGCCACTGAGAAGACTAGACAAAGAGCAAAAGAGGCACCACATGTATGTCTTTATGTGAATTTCTTCTTACATTGTTTGTAATACCATTTTTGTTTTTATCTTTTAAGGGTGCAGTCCTCCTTCAGATAGCCCATATTCCAAAATACCCATCTTTCCATTGTTTCCTAATGTGGATGGGGTGGTGATGGGAAAGCCATTCAAAGACATACAGAAATTAGAAATGCTAAGGAGAAGGGAGCCTCTGGATTTCTTTGAGAACTATTTTTTCCATAAAAGAGACTGGAAGACACAGGTAAGATTTTGGTTATGCCACATTAGTTAATTTAAATACTTAGGTTTTCAAGTTCTAACTTAATGGAACTCATTTGTTTTAAAAGATTTTATTTATTCATTTGAAAGAGAGAAAACACAAGCAGGGAGAGAGGCAGAGGGAGAGGGAAAAGCAGGCTCCCTGCTGAGCTGGGAGCCCACTGTGGGGCTCAGTCATGACCTGAGCTGAAAGCAGATGTTTAACCATCTAAGCCTCCTGGGCACCCCCAGAACTAATATTTTTTTAAAGACTTTATTTATTTGTCAGTGGCGGGGGGAGAGAGAGAGAGAGAGCACACAAGCAGAGTGGCAGGCAGAGTGGCAGGCAGAGGCAGAGAGAGAAGCAGGCTCCCTACTGAGCCAGGAACCCAATGCAGGACTCGATCCCAGGACCCTGGGATCATGACCTGAGCCAAAGGCAGTGGCTTAACCGACTGAGCCACCCAGGCATCCCCCCCCTTTTTTTAAAGCTTTTATTTGTTTAGAACTAATATTTTTTAAAGATTTTATTTATTTATTTGACAGAGATCACAAGTAGGCAGAGAGGCAGGCAGAGAGAGAGGGAGAAGCAGGCTCCCTGCTGAGCGAAGAGCCCGATGCGGGGCTCAATCCCAGGACCCTGGGATCATGACCTGAGCCAAAGGCAGAGGCTTTAACCCACTGAGCCACCCAGGCACCCCTAGAACTAATTTTTTTAATGACGAACATTTTCAGTCATTACATTTCAAACCAGATTACATAGCCATGTTCCTAAATTTAAGGCCAGGTATAAATACTTCATTTAAATTCAGCAAATAGGGTGCCTGGGTGGCTCAGTGGGTTAAAGCCTCTGCCTTCAGCTAGAGTCGTGATCCTGAGGTCCTGGGACCGAGCCCCGCATCGGGCTCTCTGCTCAGTGGGGAGCCTGCTTCCTCTCTCTCTGCCTGCCTCTCTGCCTACTTGTGATCTCTGTCAAATAAATAAATCTTAAAAAAAACATTCAGCAAATAGTTAAACTTACTGAAAAATACAACCCTAGACTCGGGGTTAGAGGTGGGGAGTATAAGAATAACAATAAAAAGGCCCTCAGATCCTACCTACACCTGCTCTCCCTTCAACCTATCGGCCAGAAGCTCCATTTTGGGCTCCCTCAACTGGCTCTAGATTGTGGTTGGGCCACACACCATGGGATGAGAGGAACAGGTCCACAACTCAGTGGAGCAATCTGTGATGGAGTGGCCATCCTGCTCTTGGACTAGAAGCCTACTTACAGTCCCGGCTACACCTTCTGGCCTCCTTCAACCTCTCCGTGTTTATGTCTCAGGCAGCCACGCCTTGGTTTCTGGATATTCTCTGAGGAAACTGTGGCCTTACTCCGGGGTTTATGACAGGCCTGCCAGCCTGCAAAACAACATCAAGATTTCACTGGAGGGGCACCTGGGTGGCTCAATGGGTTAAGCATCTGCCTTCAGCTCAGGTCATGATCCCAGGATCCTGGGATCAAGCGCCGCATCGGGCTCCGTGCTCCGTGGGGAGTCTGCTTCTCCCTCGACTGCTCCCCCTACTTGTGCTCACTCTCCCTCTCTCTCTCTGTGTGTCAAATAAATAAATAAAATCATAAAAAAAAATAAATAAAAGAAGGAGACAGGAGACTGACTGGAGACCACTGAGACATCTCTGGGTTCCAGAAATCCATGTAGTATTCACATCACTATGAAACCTCTTAGAAGGCCCCCCAGGCACAGAGTTTAATAGTCCCTGGGGCTGGGAGCAGGGGGTAACGGGGAGCTGCTAATATCAACAGGCTTACAGTCTCAGTTATGCAAGATGAGTAATTCTAGAGATATGCTGTACAATACTGTGCCGGTAGTTAACAAAACGTATTGTACACCAAAAAAATGTGTTAAAAGCATAGATCTCACATTAAGTGTTCTTACCACAGTAAAATAAAAAATTTTTAAAGATTTTAGGGGAGGGGCGCTTGGGTGGCTCAGTGGGTTAAAGCCTCTGCCTTCGGCTCAGGTCATGATCCCAGGGTTCTGGGATTGAGCCCCACATCGAGCTCTCTGCTCAGCAGGGAGCCTGCTTCCTCCTCTCTCTCTCTCTCTGCCTGCCTCTTTGCCTGCTTGTGATCTCTGTCAAATAAATAAAATCTTTAAAAAAAAAGATTTTAGGGGAAAATAGGTGCTGGCAAGGATGTAGAGAAAGGGGAACCCTCTTGTACTGTTATGGGAATGCAAACTGGTACAGCCACTCTGGAGAAACAGTATGGAGGGTCCTCAAAAAGTTAGAAATAGAACTACCCTACGACCCAGCTGTTGCACTATGAGGTGTTTACCCAAAGAATACAAAAATACTAATTCAAAGGGATACATGTACCCCAATGTTTATAGCAGCATTATCTACAATAGCCACATTATGAGAACGGCCCAAATGTCCATTGATACATGAATAGATACAGAAGAGGTGGGGTGTGTGTGTGTGTGTGTATCTTTTTTATGACTGAACAATATTCCATTGTGCATAAAGAATGAAATCTTGCCATTTGCAACCATGTGGACAGAGCTAGAGAATATTATGCTAAGAGAAATAAGTCAGAGAAAGACAAATACTTTATGATTTCACTTATATGTGGAATTTAAGAAACAAAACAAACAAGGGAAGAGGAAACAAAGAGATGCAAGAGACAGACTCTTAATTACAGAGAACAAACAGATGGTAACCAGAAGCAGGCTGGGTAGGAGGACAGGTTAAATAGGTGATGGGGATTAAGGACACATTGTTGTGATGAGCACCAGGTGTTATATGCAGGTACTGAACATCGTATGTTAACTAACCAGAATTTGAATAAAAACTTTAAAAAAAAAAACAGACTCTAGAGGAGTATCGCAGTCACATATGACCTTAACTTCAGACTTTGAATTTATCTCTCCAGATGAAGTCATACCCACAAGCAGATGTCACTGACAAGTTGGAAATAACGGGAACTTTATTCCCCTTTAAATTTATTTCCCAGCACTAAGCCCTCCTCCACCTGTGATCTGTATCTGTTTACTGTCAGTCTCTCCAACCAGAATATAAGGTTATGTAGGGTTATGTTACGTATAGTTCTTTCACTGAGGGATCCCTATCACCTAGAACAGAACCTGGCCCATAGGAGACTCAGTATGTTTTGGATGAAAGGAAATTATAATACAAAGTCTTTATTTATTGAGAGCAAGATTTTCTCTAATCATATCAGCCAGCAGAGAGAGTGTCAGTAGCATCCTGAATGGTCGGTTCTGTCTTCATCCTCTGCAGTCCGCTCTCAACACAGCAACCAAAGTGGCTCTACTAAAATCAGCTCAAAATTTGCCAACAGGTTTTCATATCACTCAAAGTAAAAGCCAAAATCTCTCCTGTAACACTCAGGGTTCTACACCATCTAAACCCGAGTCTTCCGATGATGGTAGCCACAGAGGCTATTTAAATTTAAATATAAAGGTCACCTGGGTGGCCCAGGAGGTTAAGCATCCAACTCTTGATTTGGGCTCAGGTCATGATCTCAGAGTCCTGAGATGGATCCACACACATGGCTCCCCACTCAGCAGGGAGTCCGCCCTGCCCCACCCCATACTCCTGGGTGGGCGCACACGCGCGTGCGCACACACGCGCGCTCTCTCTCTCAAATAAATAAATAGATCTTTTATTAAAAAAAGAAAAGAAGAATCACTGGTTTGAATCACTAGCCAACACGAACTAAAATACTATTTATCAGAGTGACACAGGAGATGAAGAGGGTGGTACTCAGAATTAAAGCTTTCTCTATTTTGTTAAATTTATAATGAGTGTTAAAAGTGTAAGGATAATCATTAAAAGTAATCATGAATCATTTAATGAGTAATCATTATAATGAATAACTTTTGAATAGAAGGGGGAAGAACAAGAAAAAAGAGAAAACATGAAATAATAGAAAGTGCAAAAGAGAATAAGCAGAAAAATCCAAATACATCAATAACAATAAAAGATTAAAACATACTAGTTTAATTAAAAAGTATTAAGAAAAAATAGACAAGTCTATTTCAAGTCTAAAAGAAAGGATACTGAGACTGATTTTTAATAATTTTCAGATATCTGTTCTTTAAAGATATACCTAAAATATGACACAGAAAGTTTGAAAGTAGGGGGTGGAGGGATAGGTGAGTCCAATGATGGGTATTAAGGAGGGCATGTATTGCATGGAGCACTACGTGTTATACACAATGAGTCATGGAACACTACATCAAAAACTAATGTTGTACTGTATGGTGACTAATATAATAAAAAAATAAAATAAAATTTTTAAAAAGATTGTATTTATTTGACAGACATCACAAGTAGGCAGAGAGGTAGGCAGAGAGAGAGGGGGAAGCAGGCTTCCTGCTGAGCAGAGAACCCGACACAGGGCTCGATCCTAGGACTCCGGGATCATGACCTGAGCTGAAGGCAGAGGCTTTAACCCACTGAGCCACCCAGTCTCCCCTAAAATAAATTTTTAAAAAATAAAGTTTGAAAGTAAAAGGACAGGAAAAGAGAGAAACTGAAGACATAGTAGAGAGGCAGGACTGGCTACGTAATTGGTGGAGCCAAGGGCAAAATGGAAATAGAGGGCCCTTTGTCCAAAAATTACTAAGAATTTAAAGACTGCAACAGCAGAGCAATAAAGCAAATTCAGGGCCCTTCTAAGCAAATGGTCCTGTGGGATGGCACAAGTCACACACCCATGAAGCCAGCAATGGAACAAGGAAAACTGAAGGGAAATGGTCCAGGAAGGGAATTAATAAAGATTCAGGGGGAGACTTTGGCCTTGGAAATCAGGAGAAACTCTCACACGGAGGAGGCAAAAAGAATTCATCTTAGCTAGTCCTGGAGAGATAATCATTAGCCGAGGGAGTGTGCAGATCGGTCTTCCAGCAGGCACTGAGAGGACAGCTGTGAGATCTGTAACAGAATTAACAGCATTCAGTGAAGAAAAGTAGGGTCAAGCAGTACTAAGACGGATGAGAATGGGAACTACACATTTTCCAAGAAAGGATTCCACATTTTCCAGGAACACGGAAAATGGACATCTGGTTCCCCAGGGCAAGTTTGGAAGTAATACAGGTTGTGCTTTGTGGAGGGCACCTTCTTCACTTTTCAGTGCTTGGTGTTGGCTTGGGAAATTTGGTGAGGCTGGAGTTGGCTCCTCTCTACCCTCCATGTCCATTCCACACATAAACCGTCTTCCGGTTGGTATTTCTGAGAAGGCGTCATCATTAAGAAAGAGAATGTGCTGAATGCTCAGTTACACACGGTGCTGTACCAGGTGTCCCCAATCACATAGAAACCCCTTCCTAGTATGACATATTTCTGTGTATTATGTCTTTGTTATATAATTTAACCCAAAATATATCACCAACCTTTGTTTTTTTAAATGTGCATAAAGGCTGCAAATATAAAGCCTTTCGACCCAGTCTCAGGCTACCCAAATGACATCCTCGCCATTGACCAACTACTCAAGAAGAAGCAGAACTGGACCGTGACCGACGCAGCCGCTATTAAACAGCATGTGAGTATTCACTGTTGCCCGCCCTCCCAGAATGCATCGACCAGAATGTTTTCCTCTTCAATATCACAACCACCCAGACCAAAGATATTTTTTCCGCTCTGTGTCTTTAAAATAAGACGAGACCATCTCTTGTTTTTACCCATCGTAATGATGCTTCTTGCTCTATGATCAAATGGATTCAAATATTAACTGTTACCATTCATCCTGCTAATCACCCAGGGAACGACACCCAGCATCGTTTCTGGGACCTTTGTTTGTGTCATGCTGGGAAGAGTTAAGGCAGTAAACCAGCAGTCACAGTGAGTGTGATGTGCTAAGAGATACATGATGCGTGAAAACTGGTTATAGCAGCTAAAAGAAGGAGAGTTTGAGTGCACTTCTTAGGTGCCAGGCAGTAGTGCTCTAGAAGTACTCTACAAGTACTCTATGGGCGCTAATTCAGTTACTGATCACAGCAGTCTCCTTCCGGGTAGGTGCTGTTATCATTGTATAGACGCGCACAGAGAGGTTGACTTGGCTAAAGGCAGAAGCAACAGAGGAAGTCATAGAGCCAGAATTATAAGCATGAGCAGCTTGGCTCTGGAATCCACACTTTTAGCCACAACTCCATGCCGCCTGTCTGCTTTTGTGCCCTAGCAACTTTTGTGCTTCCCAGAGACGGACCAGGGTGTGTGTATTTCATGCTGCCTCCCTCTTGCCTTTGACACTAGACATTTTCTACTTCCTTGGCCTTTACAACACTGCATCTCGTGGCTCTGTGTCCCTTCCTCTTGCTTCTCTTTCCTGAATGTTCATCCCTTTAGTCTTGATATTTCTTTGTCTTCTAGTCCCATCCTACTGCTCCTCCCATTATAGGCATTCATCTTTTCATTTGTTTAGTAAATATTTTTATGTTATTTAGTATATATTTAGTAAATATTAGTAAATATGTAAAATAAAAAATAAAATAAAATAAATATTTCGTAAATATTTATACGTTACTAACAAAGTTCTAGGATTAGGGGATACCATAGGGAGAAAAAAACACATAGCTCCTGCCCTCCATGAGCTTGAAGCGAGGGTGAGTGAGAAGGCCACATGTGTAGGGATAAGGAGATACGGGGACATGAAGCTACAGGTGGCTAGTACTGCATGCCACGAAGGAGCGGGCAAACATTGGGGATCTCTGCGTTAAGTGAGGAAAAGCTGGGGCAAGTATTCTTCGAACGATCTCAGTCAACCCCCCTTGTTTCCGCTGCCACCTGTATACTGATAAATCTTAAAGTTGTCACTGGCCTAGACTTCTCTCCAGTACTTTTGACTTCTCTCACTGCCTGACGAGCATTTTCACCTCACTGTCTCAGCATTCCACACTCTGCACGTCCAAACCAAACTCATCATCTGCATCAGACTCGCTCTTCACTTGGGGATTCTTGGTAACATCAGGTGTTGATACCACTACCTACCCTGTCAGTGAAACTAGAAGGCAAGGAATCATCCGAATTTATAGATTGTCCTCACTCCTTACATCCACCTGTGACCAAATGTGGCTACTCGCGTTCTCCCGAAGATTTTTCAAATTCCTCCCCTTCATCCTTACTGAAGGATGCTGCCTTAACTGCCGCTGCCTTAAGTGAGGCCCTCACTGGGTCTTGCCTGGACAATACCCTCCAACCCCCATCCCTGCCTCGCAGCTGCTCCCCTCCACCCCTTCTCCACACAGCTGCTAATGATCTACCGTGAAAATACAACAACGTCCCTGTCCTGCTTACAAATGAATCTTCCCCTCTCGACAAGGGCAGGATTTCTTTTTTTTTTTTTTAAGGTTTTATTTATTTGACAGAGATCACAAGCAGGCAGAGAGAGAGGAAGGGAAGCAGGCTCCCCGCTGAGCAGAGAGCCTGATGCAGGCCGATCCCAGGATGCTGGGATCGTGACCTGAGCCGAAGGCAGAGGCTTTAACCCACTGAGCCACCCAGGCGCCCTAAAGGCAGGGTTTCTTAAGTATATTTTCTGCTCCACACACCGAGATTTGTCTCACTTCCCGTCAGAAACACTGGCTTATCTGCCTTTGGCTCAGGTCATGATCCCAGGATCCTGGGATCGAGCCCCGCATCGAGCTCTCTGCTTGGCGGGGAGCCTGCTTCTCCCTCTCTCTTTGCCCACCTCTCTGCCTACTTGTGATCTCTGTCTGTCAAATAAATTAAAAAAAAAAAAAAAAGAAACACTGGCTTACTACAGCATGATTTCCACCAAGAGAAGGGCTCTGTCAGCCTCACTGAGATCAAGTCGAAGGGCCATTACGGCAGACGATGTCTTGCCTGCCTTACCTGCATCATTCCTTCCCTCTCACTTTCAAAACTTAACACTTTAGCAATGCATGCTTGTGCCTCCCACCAACTCCAGAGGTGTATTACCTCTATCCTTTTGTTTATGCTGTCTCCTTTCCCTGGAACACCTTCCCATCACCACTGCTCCCTCAATCTGGTCAAATCCTTGAGGAACTTCTCAGTATCTTCTTCCTCCCTGCCCTAGGTGGGATTGAGTGCCATTCTAGACACTCCTTTTATATCTAGAGACTATCTCCATCCCCCCTTTCCTCCGTGGTTTAGTTTATTGTGTTTTTAATATTGTCTTAAAATGTCTTATCTCATTATTCCCAAAGCATACATTTTGATTGTCTGTCAACTCCTAACTCCCACGTCCTTCAGAGGTTCCACCCAATGTATAAATTCAGTGATTTTCAACTAGCCTGGGAAGGTAATTTTTGGGATATCTACAATTGTGGTTCATAAATCAAAGATATGTTCATGTAACTACTGCAAATGTCTGCTCTCTCACTGCAGGTGAAGAGGGCTACAGAGGCCTATAACTTGGGAATTGCCCTTGAGCACCGGAAAGACATGCTAAACCTCTGGCGGAAGATCCGAGGAGATCTGATTGGAATAGACACTAAAAATGAGGCCTTTTATGACACCTTTTCTACCTATACATGGTCCTGGAATGTTTGCCAAGAATTACTTTCGCGGAAGGACTTAAGGTTATATGATGCCTACATGAATAGGAACACCTTCCACAACTCTGTATCCTCTTCTTCCTCGGGTATCAGTGAATGTGACATAGAGACAGGAAGAAAAAGAAAACGGAAAGGTTCCAGAGGGTTCCGACAATGAAATTTCTACATTTTCTAAACAGCTCATTGCAAACTACTTTTTCATAGATATCAAAATTATGGTTTCTTGCTTTTGTCTAGTACATTCTTAGCAGCTGGAAATGTTGACATCTTTTGAATTCTGACCAGTAAAAAAATTTAAGTCATAATGTGGTTTCCCTTTCCTTCTTCTTAACAAGTAAACAGAAGTCATGCGGTTATCTCCCCAGCAAACAGCTGCGCTCTGCTGCCCCCACCTGGCTCGAAACTGCCTGGACAGAAGGAGGAAAGCAGAACGCCGGCACTTACCTCAACATAGGGCTGCCCCTGTGAGCCCCTAAGGGTTCTCCCAGTAATAAGCATCTGAGTTTATGTGACCATAAGTGACACTAGGTTCTTGGTTATTTGTAAAAGAGGCCACAGGCGGCAGATGACAATGATCTTTCAGTTCCAGGGAACTGTATCACCATCTCCCGGGGAATCTTGATTAAATTTGGGTGTTCCTAAGGCTCCTTTGTCACATGTCATTAGGCTGATCTCCTGGATCCCGCTAAAAATAGTTCATCTTACCCACTACCCTGGTTGCTGCCGTTCTTTAGTGTATTTAGTAAAGATGCACATGTATAACTATTACAAGTTTGTACTTTTGTATTGTAGAAAAATACGCTTAAATTTACCATTTGAATTCTGTTTAGGAATTATCATCCGTTACATTTTTTTTTTCCTGTTAGAAAAAGGAAAAGACGTGTCCCATATTGATGGAGACAGTGGCTTATAATATAAAATCATACCATGCCAGAAAAAAGCAAGAAGATAGGGGCGCCTGGGTGGCTCAGTGGGTTAAAGCCTCTGCCTTCGGCTCAGGTCATGATCCCAGGGTCCTGGGATCCGGCCCCGATCGGGCTCTCTGCACAGCGGGGAGCCTGCTTCCCCCCCCCCCCGCCTCTCTCTTTGTCTGCCTCTCTGCCTACTTATGATCTCTGTCAAATAAACAAAATCTTTAAAAAAAAAAAAAGGCAAGAAGATAGTGAAGGCTCCTGAAACTATTTCGTGAAACGCACTTGAAGTAAATTTTGTTAACCTTGAATATTCAAAACTGTCTAAATATAGTTGACATTCTTTACAATATTATGATGTTGATAAAGAGAACCCTGGGGCATCTGGGTGGCTCAGTCAGTTAAGTGTCTGCCTTCAGCTCAGATTGTGATCCCGGGGTTCTGGAATTGAGCTCCATGTCAGGTTCCCTGATCAGCCGGGAGTCTGCTTCTCTCTCTCCCTCTGCCCTTCCCCCTGCTCATGCTCTCTCTTGCTCGCTCTGTCTCTCTCAAATAAGATCTTCAGATGCCTGGGTGATTCAGTCAGTTAAGCGTCTGCCTTAGGCTGAGTCATGATCTCAGGTTCCTGGGATTGAGTCCCACGTAGGGCTCCTTGCTCAGCAGGGAGCCTGCTTCTCTCTCTGCCTGCCGCTCCCCCTGCTTGTATTCTCTCTCTCTCTCCCTGTCAAATAAATATTTTTTAAATAAATAAATAAAATATTTTTTAAAGAATCTTATAAACAAGTGACTACTGTTTCCTACCCAAAAAACAAGATTTATGGTTTCACACATTTTTTTTATATGACTATGACTGTAATAGGCCATCTAAGAGAGATAATTTGGATGACAAAATATTAAAATTCCTGAAATATTTTCTTGGATCAATGGGATAACAGGAGAGAATATTTTTAAGTCTATCTGTCCTGGAAAATCTGCGATATATAGTAATGCGGTCTATCAGTCTGTCCCACACCGTGTTGACAGTAGAAAATGGCATCTTGTGAATGAAATACAGTATAGCAACAGGCATCCAGCCATTCCTTCAACAATTATTTATTGAGTTGCATACTGTGTGCTGGCCCCTGTTCTAGGACTTGGATGTATAACAGTGAATAAACAGAGAAAATGCCCGGACCTCACAGCTGAGTAATGCAGCTAATTATAACCACTGACTCAGTACTTCCACTTCTAGAAATTATTCCTAAAGAAGTAATCATGAACATACAAACGATTTAAAAATGATTTATAAAGATGATTATCATGTTGGATTTTTAATAGTGAGAAGCTTAACGTAGCCTGAATGCAAATCATGTACAGCTCTATAATACAATACCAAGGTCATTAAAACAATGTTAGAAAAGAACATTCAAAAAGAAAGAAAAGAAAAGAACATTCAAGCAGAAGAATGATATTCACAAACTATTATCAAGTTATAAAATAGGCTACAACTGCTCAGAGCCACGAGAAAACTTTATGGGGTTGTTCTAAAACCTAATAATGATGGTAGTTGCACAAATACAGATTTTTATGAAAATGTATCAAACCGAACACTTAAGATAGATGAATTTAATTGTATGTAAACTAAACCTCAATAAAGCTCTGAAAAAAAAAGGCCATAATGCAACTCTGAAACTATTTTAACTCAAAAGTTACTTGTATAAATCAATTAGAATAAAAGACTGGAAGGATATAAATCAAAGTGTTTAATGGATTAAGGATGGAATGGGATAGTTTCTTTTTTTCTTTTGTCTAAATATTCTACAATAAACACATATTTATTTTGCAATAAGGAAAAAACCCACAAAGTCTGTTTAAAGTTGTTAAACCAGAGTATTCAATTCCCTAAAAGGGCTCCTGCTTGTTCCATGAAACTTTAAGAACAAATTAGGACACCCTTCCCCCACCTCTCAGTTCCAGAGCACATGCTTAAACAGACCAGAATTTCACTGATTGGAACTGAAAGAAAGGCATGAAATAATTAACTACTCCTGTCCCAGGTTGACACCCAAGGCAATAATCCAGACTGAGAGCTGTTAACCTTTCCAGGCTTTGAACTCACACCTCCCAGCTAGAAGAGCTCTGGCGGCTCACCACCAGAGGGACCCATAGGTCCCCAGAAAAGTATTGCTGAAGTAGTATATAGTCTGATACCACAAAAGATGCCCACGCATGTCTTCCAAATTTCTTCAGAAAAATGATCTTAGGTGCTTCAAAAGATGAAGAAAAGTGAGTTGTGCAGGTCAACCAAAAACAATTGTATAAAAATTAAGATTAGGATACTTTTATCACATTTCATCAAAGGGGCCCAAGTTGGTTGACCATTTAAATGACTAATTATTGAAATTAATATAATAAATGACTTCAAGGGAAAACAGACAGTGAGCCCCATGCAAGAAAATATGTGGTAGGACTGCTAAGAAAAATAACAGGTTTTGGTGTAGGGAGAAAAAAAGCATGTGAAAGAGAGAACAAGATGCCAAGAATAAATAAAACCAACCACTCTATCAAACAACTGGCCTTGAGAAAAGATAAAAATCCTTGTACTTGTTTTTTGGAAAGGAGGTTTTTGTTCAAAATGTTTCAAAAGACTAGGAGAATGGCAAACATGTTTTCAAATAAGGTACAAGTTCTTTACTATCTTATCTTTTCGATTCACTCACATATTTTTCTTTGTGATTAGGAGGGTTTAGGGCTTGTTCCCATTTCTTTTCTGAGAAAGATACACAATCTCTCATAGCTCCCTTCAGTTTTGCCTATGGAAAGAATGTGCAATTAAGTAAATGATCACTCATTACCAGTGGGCTGTCTGGTACTGCACCACTTAAATAACTAATTAACCCTTTCCTTAACTTACTCCTAATGGTAGTCCTTACTCCCCTGGAACTCTTCTCAACTAACTTTATATCAACAGGATACTTTCTTATAGATTCTTTCCAGAATCAGTTTATAGTAATTATTGAAACAAATGTAAGGCTGAAAATTATTAGTATAACAAACTGTATTATATTATAGTCCTGATTGTGTGAACAAGCTTGGGTATGGATAATTCCAAAAAGTAGGTGGTTACAAATTATATAATTATAGGGGCCCCTGTGTGGTTCAGTCCGTTAAGCATCATGATCTCAGAGTTCTGGGATCCAGCCCCTCATTGGGCTCCCTGCTTGGCAGGGAGACTGCGTCTCTCTCTCTCCCTCTGCTCCTCCCTCTTTCTCTCTCACTTTCTCTCAAATAGCCTTTTAGAAAATAGTTTAAAAATTATATAATTATATAAATTAACCTCATGTCCTCAGAATTCATTCCATACTCCGCCTTCCCCAGAAAAATAGTATTCTTTTATTCTTTTTCATAGCTTTTCACAGTATGAAAAGCTTACTACAGAAGCTGGAAAATTGTCCTATTTCCTCAGCCAGCTTGCTATTTTCCTTAAATTCTTCCGCCATCGGGTCTAAATGGACCTATGGAACTTAGGCACCCTTAATTGTCAAAGTGATTCAAGATATTTCCCGTCTTAAAACTTGAGAGAAACTGGGAAACCTGTTAGAGGATCCCAGCATAGACAGGAGGCTCAAGTGCAATGCCTCCCCACCCCCCCTTTTTTTTTTAGATTTTATTTATTTATTTATTAGAGACGGCACACCAGCACAAGCACGGGGTGGGCGGGGAGCAACAGGCAGAGGGAGAAGCAGGCTCCCCACTGAGCAGGGAGCCTCATGTGGGACTCAATCCCAGGACCCTGAGATGATCTGAGCCAAAGACAGACGCTTAGCCGACTGAGCCACCCAAGGATCCCTGTCTCCCACTTCCGAACGGGCCTGCACCGCCTCCAGCCCCTTTGCCCGGAAGGGAGAAAGCCAGCTCAGAGAAAATCTGTGGGCAAGCGACCCTTCCCGGGAGAACACCTCCCAACTCAGGGCCCGCCCCCACAGGGCGGAGCTCCAGCTCCAACCTAGACCCGGGAGTTCAGAGCTGCCCCGCCCCTCTTTGCTCTTTTCCCGCCCAGATCCCGCGACTTCCGGAGGGGGCGTGGCCCCGCAGGACGTTTTCGCGTGTGTGAAAGGCAGGCATATCCGGCTCCGGTGTCATGGCGGACTCCTACCCTGAATGCGCTCTGGCTGCTGTCGGCGAGAAGCGGCAACAGTTTGGGAGCAGATTCCTGAGCGATCCGGCGCGCGTTTTCCACCATAATGCCTGGTAACCGCCCTACCCCTCGTCCGATCTGCGGCTCGCCCTCTGTCCCGCATCCCCGTGTGCTCTGAAAATCCCTTGATCGCGGGCCACGAGTCCCGCTGCCCTGCTTGAGGCGCTGTCCTTCCACGGGAGAGGCGCTGCATGGCCAGACTTATCCTGCCCGCAGCTGGAACGTGAGGCCCCTAAGCTGCCTGTTTGATTTTCCCAGGGACAATGTGGAGTGGTCAGAAGAGCAGGCCGCCGCAGCGGAGAGGAAAGTCCAGGAGAACAGTACCCCGCGGGTGTGCCAGGAGAAGCAAGGTGCGCTTAGGTGGGCCCTCAGTGGTAGCAGCAGCCAGCGTACTGCTCGAGGCGCTCTCCCCGAGAGGCTAGAGAACCTAGATCGCCAAGACTGACCCCGAAGTTGGGGGTAGAACGGGAGGGGAGGGGATGGGTGAGGACGCAAAAGAGTTTCACCCTGAAATCTTGTTAGGGCGAAGAGGGAGTTTTGGTTTTGGCTTTATTTGAGAGGGAGTAACTGTATCTTGATTTTCTACCGATTAATTTTTAGCTAGTCGACTAGACCCATATTAATATGACTATCCGAGCGAGTGGTCACATGGTCCACTTAGAGGCTCTGCTTCGTCTATATGATTATACTTTTTTGGCTGAGGAGATGTGATTGAAGCTAGATTCTAGCGATCAGATTCTCAATTTATTCCGGGAGGGAGCTAATGACTGGTGTGATGGCTGTGAGGTTTTAGGGCTTCTGCCAAGGAAAACTGGGTGAAGAGGCGTGTAGGTAAGTGTGGCCAAAGAAAAAAGAGAACACTTCTGGAGAGGCGAGTGATTTCATTGCAAAATAACTCTAGATACTAAAACTAGGCCTGGCTGAGCCTATGTCCTAAAAGAAAATTTGCAAGTAGGACTTGAAATTGGGAGAGTAGTATCCCACAGTTCACTATAGCAATTAGAAGATTCCAGTTATAAAATATTCACCTTACATAGTTTGACAGAAACTAGATAGATCAAAGTAAGTTAGAATTGAAAGGGATTTTGAAAATCATGTAGTCCAATATCCTCTTTTTACAGTTAAAGAAACTTGGACCACAGGACATTAAGTGCCTTACCCAGAGGTAAGCAGTTAGATAGTAGTAGGAGTGGAGAAACTAAAATCTGATTTCTTAGATTTTTTTTTTTTTTTCGTTTTTTCTTCTTTTTTTTTTTTAAAGATTTTATTTATTTATTTGACAGACAGAGATCACAAGTAGGCAGAGAAACAGGCAGAGAGAGAGGAGGAAGCAGGCTCCCCGCCGAGCAGAGAGCCCGATGCGGGGCTCGATCCCATGACCCTGGAATCATGACCTGAGCCGAAAGCAGAGGCTTTAACCCACTGAGCCACCCAGGCGCCCCTTAGATTTTTTTTTTTTTTCCGTTTCTACTACTCTCGTCAAGGCCCTGTATTGCAAAGAGAAAACTGACGTCTAGGACTTGCCACTGCCTTGATCACCTGAAACTACAATGGAAACAGTCTACCTTTCTTAAGTCTCTCCTGTCCTCTCTCATCAAAACTCTATAATCATCTGAAGATATTTTTCCCTCTTCTCAGCATTTCTCCTTTCCTTTTAGCCTTGTTCCCGTTTTTAGGATCTTTTAGTAGTATTGAATTCATTTCTTAGCTCCACATTCAATAAAAACCGCAGACAGAGGAGTGTATGTAAAGAAGAGCCGTATGTGTCATTAACACTTGAGTTCACATGGGGAATGACTGCAGAACCTGGAACATTTCGCCTGTAAAATAGAGGATTTAGAGGGGGAAAATAACTGCCCTTAAATACAAGAGAATTGTTCTGTGTGGCCATAAGAAGTAGTAGGACTTTCTGGGCGCCTGGGTGGCTCAGTGGGTTAAGCCGCTGACTTCGGCTCAGGTCATGATCTCAGGGTCCTGAGATCGAGTCCCACATCGGACTCTCTGCTCAGCAGGGACCCTGCTTCCCTCTCTCTCTCTGCCTGCCTCTCTGCCTACTTGTGATCTCTGTCTGTCAAATAAATAAATAAAATCTTAGGGAAAAAAAAAAAAAGGTAGTAGGACTTTCTGACCAGAAGGTAGATTTTTTTTTTTTTTTGCTTAATTGTCAGAATTTTTTTTTTCCTTAATGTTAGAATTTTCTAATAGCTAAGAGTCACCCAGAGTTGTGGGTGAAGAATTGGTAGAAAGTTCCCTGGTAGACGTTTCTCCCTAGAAGGACAAGATGCAGAGGGAATTCAGATAGGGTAGGTGGTTAGGACTACAAGGTTTCCAGCTCTGAGATTATGGCGCCACTTGAGGATGCTTTTGATATAAAATGACACTCAGTGAAGCGGAATGACATTTGACATTAAGGGTACATAAAATACCAAGAGATGGGTTTTTAAATTCTTTCTTTAATGTTTACAGTTGATTATGAAGTCAATGCCCACAAATACTGGAACGAGTTCTACAAAATCCACGAAAATGGGTTTTTCAAGGATAGACATTGGCTTTTCACTGAATTCCCAGAGTTGGCACCTAACCCAAACCACAATGACTTGAATGATTGGCTCTCAGAGAACAAGAGGAGTGAAGTACCTGAAGGTAGGAGCAAAGAGGAGGGACCTGGTTTAAAAACAGAAGAACAGCACACGTGTCCTTCAGATAGCCTTGGACATAAAACACAGATGCCTCCTTTGGAAGAAGATGTGACTCGGAAACTCAGTCACCTGGAAATCCGTGCCGATGAGTTCCCTGGATCCTCAGCCACCTACAGAATACTTGAGGTAGGGGCGCCTGGGTGGCTCAGTGGATTAAGCCTCTGCCTTGGGCTCAGGTCATGATCTCAGGGTCCTGGGATCGAGCCCTGCATCAGGCTCGTTGCTCAACGGGGAGCCTGCTCCCCCCCCCCACTTGTGATCTCTCTCTCACATGCACACGTGCTCTCTCTCTCTCTCAAATAAATAAATCTTTAAAAAAAAAAAAAAAGAATACTTGAGGTAACCCCCCTCTGTTGTCCTGATAGTGGGGTTAATGAGGCTGTTCTCTTGTACACGTGCTCGGCCTAGAGAGGCAGACCCCAAAAGTGATTCTTCCTGAAGACGCTGACTAGCACTGACCCTTAGGTTGGCCTAGAAACACCTCCACTTTGGAACTAATGACTTGCCCTGATTTCAGTCCAGATAGCTGGGTGTTGTGGCAAAGGTAGATCACCTGAGGTGCTTCCTGGGAACCTCCTCTTGCATCCGAACATTGTCGTATCTTGCTCTACCGGCCACTGGAGGAGTCCTGGGGTGGGGAGGGGGTTGGTTGGGATGGTGCCTGCTTCTCAGGCAGAGGAGAATTCTTGTCTTCTTCGTGTGCATGTTGGTGCTGAGGCCAGGCTAGACCTGGAAACATGTCTGGGTAGGGACTGTAATGCAGATTTGTAAGTGGTGACTCTGCACTCCACTGGAGGCTGATTAGCCTTGGGGTTGAGTACTCTAGTCCTGACCTTGTTCCTAATCCCTTCTCCTCCCCAAGCGGAAGGGGTCTTCTCCCGCTCTGTCTGCCTCACAGCGGTTGTGAGAATTACATATATTAAGATGTTGATGTAAAATGGCTAACAATAGTGCCTGGCGTGGAGTAAGACCTTAGTAAATGGGCACTCTTTTTTGGGGGGGTTTTGGGGTTGTTTTTGTTTTTGTTTTTAAAGATTTCATTCATTATTTTAGAAAGAGGTCATGCGTGAAAGAGGGGAGAAGCAGAGGGATAGGGAAAGGGAGGTCATTTCTAGTGGACTCCGCACTGAACACAGAGCCTGATGCAGGGCTCCATCCCATGACCCCAAGATCATGACCCGAGCTGAAACCAAGGGTTAGGCACCCAATCCCAAATGGTCACTGTTATTAGGACACCCAGCACCATGTTTAGGACACTGTGATCCATGATCCCCTTTTCATGAATATTTCTGCTAAGTCTGAGAAGCATGTTTCCAATAATGATACAGTGCCGTTCAGTAAGAAAATATTTTATCTGCTCTCTCTGTCTTCTCTGCACCGGGAGCGGCTCTCCTGCCATAGCCCCTCATCCCCGGAAAATGTACACCTGTGCAAAGATCGTCTCCACCCCCTCCTTGGTCAGGTGCACCTCTCAGCTGTTGAGTCGATCACTGCAGCGGTGCTGAAAGCCCCGAGACACTGACAGATGAGAGCGTAGCAGCTCGGCAGCCCCACATCCCCTGACCTCTCTACTAGGTGCAGCTTCCAAACCAATGCCATTTCAAGGGACATCGACATGGTAGCCAAGTTCATTGGGGCTGGGGCTGCCACGGTCAGGGAGACTGGCTCTGGGGCTGGAATTGGGACTGTTTGGGAACCTCATCACTGGTCATGCCCCCTCTCTGAAGCAGCAGCTCTTCTCCCATGCCATTCTGGGTGTTGCCGTCTCAGAGGCCATGGGGCTCTTTTGCCTGATGGTGGCCTTTCTCCTCTCCCATTATGGGGAGGAGCTGTCTCCGCCTCCCATAGTCCTTTCTGTATCTCGTCTGTCCTGTATGTTCCTTTTCCTATACCTCCCAGGCAGCCTGGGGCAAGTGGTTGGCTCAGGGTTTGACAGGGAAGACAAATAAATACTGTATTAATAAGAAAAAAAAAATCATTTCATCTATAGGACCATTTGCTAAAACTCAAAAAGTAAAAGCAATCCATGCCCTTTTTTCCACATCAGCTCCCTTCTGCTATCAAGAGCCCATGCTCTTGTCTTTTATGGCTACCTCTTTTTAAACTTCCTGAGGTCAAGGTCAGGGATTGTTATGGGTACTATTCAACTATGGTCACAATTAAGCAAGATTATCTATTGTTGATTATTTATCTAGCGCTAGGGAATTAAAATTCATTCTTTGGAAAGTCCTGTAACTAAAAGTTCATTTCTGTCTGCAGGTTGGTTGTGGTGTGGGAAACACAGTCTTTCCGATTTTACAAACCAACAAGTAAGTGTGTTGTAAAGTTTAACTATAGGACAGCAAAGAGGAGAAAGGGGTGTGTTGTTTCTCAAAACTTACTGCAGCAGACTGGTAATAGTGGTTACTGGGAACCATGGGTGACGGGAGGTGTCAATTTCTAAGTTATCTTTGTCATCAGGAAAATTGGTGAGCTTCAAAACCTGTTTGACTGCTAATATCTGATGCCTTTGATATTTTAACTTTGCTACACAGGAGAGAAAACAGAAATAATTCAGTTTCTAGTCTTAATTGTTCTGTTTTTTCTGCCCATTTCAGTGATCCGGGACTCTTTGTTTACTGTTGTGATTTTTCTTCCACAGCCATAGAACTGGTCCGGGTAAGTGCAGTAGTTCCTGTCTGTGACTGTCTCTGATTAAAGAGGAGAGGGTCTCTTAAAAATCAAGGTCTCTAGCAAATTTTTATTATTATGTGGTTTGAAAGTAAAAGACTTACTGAAATAGCTGGGACTAGAGGAAAGAACGAAGCGTGAACCTGGAAGGTGTCACTGGCCGCTGTGGAGCTTCCGGCAGGTGTCCTGACCTCTGTAAACATAGGTTTTAAGTATTAAAATGAGAAGATTGTTTCTAGTCAGGGTTCTTTGAGTTACAAGTCACAGAAACACCTAGACCAACTCAGTCAATGAAAGAGAAGGTCCTAGAACCCAAGGGCATAAAATGTAGCCAGGGCTGTCACTCAGCCCTGAAGAGGTGGCAGATACCAAGGAGGTTGACTAGCTGGTGACATGTTACTACTCCCTCCTCTTCCTGTCACAGTAACTCCCTCAAGCTCATGGTTTCGTATCTCACATAGCCCACAGCCGATTTGTCCTTTGTTCTCTTTACAGACCAGCTTTCCGTAATAGGTTTTTCACATGATCCCGACATACCTGCCCCTTACACATCTACCCCATTCAGGCATTCTCAGAACCTCACCAGAACGGCTTGTCCTGATTCCAAAGTCCCCAGAAAGAGTCTGGTTGACCTGGCCAAGCTGGTGATCTACTTGCCCTGTTTGAATTAGCTGTGGCCAGTGAGAAGCGAAGTCACATTTTTGGAGAAGAGAGATACAGAAAGAGGAATTACCCTAAAATAAGTCTGTTACAATCATGTCTACTGCTCCTAGCACAGGAGCTCCAGAGTTGTAACTCCATGTCTTTCTGGAGTGAGTTACTTTTATGGATCTAGACCAGTTGAATATTGAGACTTCTCTTTAGTTAATTTTATTTATTTTTATCTTTTGTTAATTTTAGGACAAAATATAAAGTTAAATTTTCCACATCTAATAGGTTTTCCTGGAGAATTCTGTGATCTGTGTAATATGCTATAGTTGGGTTGGGAGTTGTTTTAAATCATGCTTTTAAATGTTTCAGTGTCAGTGTGTTTTCTCTCTCTCCTGATGAGATTTTTCTTTTTCCTTGTGGCCATTTACCTCCCTGAGCACTTTGCAGTCCTCAAATCTAATTTTTGTGCATCAGAGTAAGAATAAAGAATAAAAGTAGAATAGGGGCGCCTGGGTGGCTCGGTCATTAAGCATCTGCCTTCGGTTCAGGTCATGATCCCAGGGTTCTGGGATCAAGCCCCGCATCAGGCTCCCTGCTCAGCGGGAAGCCTGCTTCTCCCTCTCCCACTCCCCCTGCTTGTGTCCGCTCTCTCATTAGATCTCTCCTTGTCAAATAAATAAAATCTTTAAAAAAAAAATAAAAGCAGAATAATCAAGAACATTCTTTTTTTTTTTTTTAAGAGACTGCAAGTGTGTGAGAGTGGGGGTGGGGGAGGCAGAAGAGAGAGAGAGAATCCTCAGCAGGCTCCACCCCCTCCATGGACCCCAACACAGGGCTCCATCTCACAACCCTGAGATCATGACCTGAGTTGAGATCAAGAGTCAGATGCTTAACTAACTGAGCAACGCAGGCGCCTCCCCCATTCATTCATTCATTCATTTATTTTTTAAAATTGAGTAAGCTGTACCCTCAACATGGGACTTGAACTCACAACCCTGAGATCAAGAGTCACATGTTCTAGCAACTGAACCAGCCAGGTGCCCCTAAAACATTCCATTTTAAAGGTACCATTTTTGGGGGGGTGCGGGCACCTGGGTGGCTCGGTGGGTTAAGGATCTGCCTTCAGCTCAGGTCATGATCCCAGGGTCCTGGGACTGAGCCACCACATCAGGTTCCCTGCTCAGCGGGGAGTCTGGTTCCCTTCTCTCTCTACCCCTCTCCCCGGCTCATGCTCTCTCTCTCACGTGCACTCTCTCCCAAATAAATGAAAATCTTAAAAAAAAAAGGACCAGTTGGGAGTCTGCTTCTCCCTCTGCCTCACCCCATGCTCTCTCACTCGCTCTGCTCTCTCCCTCAAATAAAATCTTGTTTTAAAAAAAAGTTTAAAAAATAAATAAAATGAATGGGGCGCCTGGGTGGTCCAGTGGGTTAAAGCCTCTGCCTTCAGCTCAGGTCATGATCCCAGTTTCCTGGGATCGAGCCCCTCATTGGGCTCTCTGCTCAGCAGGGAGCCTACTCCCCCCACCTCTGCCTGACTCTCTGCCTACTTGTGATTTCTGTTTGTCAAATAAGTAAATAAAATCTTTAAAAATAAGTAAATAAAATGAAAATGCCACTTGGATTCCACAGCCTCCTCCCCGGAATTGTTGGGCGTTCTTAGCCTTTGAGTCAGAATGCACGCCTTCATGATTTAGGGCAATAACCCTCGGCACGCAGTAGCCTCAGTTACACTTAAAGCAAGATAAGCTTTCCTCCGGGCTCGTGTGTGTGTGTGTGTATGTGTGAACATTTTCTAACCTGTGGTCTTCCAACTGTGCAGACAAATTCAGCATATGATCCTTGTCGGTGCTTTGCCTTTGTTCACGATCTGTGTGATGAAGACGCGACTTACCCAGTGCCCGGGGGTAGCCTTGATGTCATCATCCTCATATTTGTTCTCTCGGCGGTCATTCCAGACAAGTAAGTTTTGGGTCCCTTAACCAGTAGTGTGACAAAAACGAAGCTCAGGTCAGGCACCTTGATAGCAGGGTTGGACCCTGAGTAAGCAGGATGATCTGATGGGCCTGGAAAGGCCACTCTGTCAGAGCGATGCAAGTGCCTCACCCCTTTTCCTGAACCTGTTTGCCTGTAAACCGCTGCCTGCTAGCTGCGGTGGTTCTTCTTTTCAGTGCTCAGGTTGAACGTCCCGGGATAGGAGAGCGGTCGCCAGTGGGTGTGTGGAGACACCTCCTGCTGATAGTGTCAGCATGCTGTTTTAGAACGCTGTGTGCCACAGCTGTTAGATACCATCCCCTCGTTGGCCTTTTTTATTTTTCTTTAGGATGTTATTTTACAGGGCGCCTGGGTGGCTCAGGTGGCTAAGCGTCTGCCCTAGGCTCGGGTCATGATCTCGGGGTCCTGGGATCAAGTCTTGCAGTGGGCTCCCTGCTCAGTGGGGAGTCTGCCTACCCCCATCTCACCCCCTCCTGTGATGTCTCACTCTCACTCACTCTCTCTCTCTCAAATAAATAACTAAAATCTTGAAAAATAAATAAATAAATAAACCTATAACATGTTATTTTTAAGTAATCTCTACACCCAGCGTGGGACTCAAACCCACAACCCTACGATCAAGAGCCACACACTCTACGGACTGAACCAGCCGGCCTCCCCTTGTTGGGCTTTTCATATGCTTTCAGTAAAGCAGGCTTATTAACACAGAATTTATAGTGGAGCCTTACTCAGGGGTTCCTTTATGTTTAAGCACTTTGGAAAACCGCAGTATAGGGGAATTCCGTAAGATCAAGTTCAGGTGAAATGAAAGTCAGTTCCTGAACCCTGCAGGATACTGTTAGAGCTTCCTGGACGTGGGGGAGCCAGCTGTCCTGATGAGATACTGTCCTCAGGAAGCAGCGTCAGCCAGAGACCCAGAGGAATGAGCGATTGTCTCTGTCCCACATTTCCTTGAGGCCAGCACTGAGTCATCTGACCTAACAGGGATATTGTGAGCGTGCAAATAGGCAGGTGCAGGACAACCCAAAAGGCCAGGTGTGGTTCTAAATATTCGTAACTGCAGAGGTCTCAGGGCACCTGGCTGGCGCAGCTGGTAGACCACGCAACTCTTGATCTCAGGGTCATGAGTTCAAGTCCCATGTTGGCGATAGAGTTTGATAGCTAAAATATCAGTAGAAGTTTAAATGCTACAGACTTAAAAGCTGACGTGGACTGAAACAAAACATTAAAGTTAAAACTCTTGATTCAATATTTAAGTGGGCTTTGTAGCATTGATACTTGGAGGTTAGTACAGCCGAAACCGGCACTGGGCCTGCGTGTGGATCATGCAGTCAGAAGGTAGAGTGCTCTGCCCGTGGCACCCGTTCACCTACTGACTCACCGTGTAAATTGTGAGTGCTTGAGGTTTCGTCTTCATTTAAGAAATGGAAAGGTGCAGTCTGTGCCTTCGGAGCGCTCAGGCCCTGGGGGCAGACGGATGAGTCAGCTCACCAGCAGTCCTCACCGGGGATTCTTAGGGCTGTGCCCTGAGAGCCCCGGGAGCACAGGGCAGGGGTGGCTTCCCCATGAGGCCGTCCCAGGAGGAAAAGGAAGTGAACCAGCCGCAGAGTATGGAAGTTGGAGCCCTCCAGCAGAAGCAGGTTATCCTCAGGCCTCTGCATATCGAAGGGAGTGGGTCAAAGCCATGTCCGTGAGCGGACAGCAGAAGGCACCTGAGAAGCAGGGTGTGTGCTCCCATTGTCATCGAAGTGAGGAGCAGAAATGTCGGGGTTTGTGTGTGTCAGGGTTAGGAAGTCCTCTGGCTATTCCAGGCACGCTGCAAGGAAGAGGAATGCTGTCCTTGAGGAGACCTGGTCTTCATTCTCTGTTGGCCCGCAGGATGCAGAAGGCTATCAGCAGGCTGAGCAGGCTGCTGAAGCCCGGCGGGATGATGCTTCTGCGAGACTACGGCCGCTACGACATGGCACAGCTTCGGTTTAAAAAAGGTATTTTACTGCTATAACCAAAGCAACAGTTGTGCCATCAGACTAGACCTGCAAGTCAGTGAAATCGCATAGAAACTCTAGAACTAGAGCTCCGTATATAAAGCCACCTAATACATGATGAGAGCCGTATGTTTTTGAAGACTGGTGCCCTCTAGGTATTGGGGGGATCCCTTAACCAAGACAGCTACTTTCAGAATAGCTACCTTGGGGAAAAGATTTGATTGCATAAGTAATTTTAAACGTGGCATGGCCCAAGATGCCATTCATAAATTGAAAGACAAAACATTTCCGTGTCTAGAACAGATGAAGACTTAGTTATTATCTCTGCTCTTCAAGGGCCTCTTGGCAAATTGATAAGGAGAAGATCGGCCTCCCACCCAAAACAACAGGAAGGAAAATTTTAGAGTTGATTCACCGAAGGGCAGATCCAAGTGGCCAGAAACAAAGGTAACAAAACTTAAGAGTGAGATAACCACTTCTTAAACCTACTGCTGGCCATTTCAAAGAAGGAGATACACTTTTCCATTACTGGTAGAAATAAGTTGTTAAATGGTGTTTGGGTTTTGTTTTTGTTTTGTTCCGTTTTGTTTTTTTAAGCACACTGGTGTTATCTACTCAGTCTGAAAGTCCTTTGGGGAATTACTCAAGAACTAGCACGTAATGTGGGTTTAGGCAAAGTCTTCGAAACAAAGTGAATGTCTCTGCGGAAGGGGGGCATCACACATGCCGCGTGAGGTGGACCCCACACCAATGGTCCTGGGGTGGGGGGGTCTCTGTCCTGCATTCCCAGACGAGAAAAGCAGCGTGCGGGGTGACTGTCTCCAACTGGTTCGCGCGTACAAGAGTGGCTGGGGAGGAATAAGCAAAGCAAGTGAGATTATAGTGACGTTCCAGAGGTGTAGGATTACCTAGCAGGCTGGTAAGCTGATGTTAGGTCAGAGGCCGTGCTGGCTGAGGGGCGGGCACGCGGACCGTACCCATGAGTGTGTGTGGCAGTGTGGAGAGATGTGGGGAACGGTCGTGGTGGCTCAGGTTTCCTCCCCGTCGGTCTAGCTACAGTCTGTGGCTTTGATCGATTGACTGATTTTTATTTTGTTTTACAAAGAGTCTGGTATTTATTGAATGCGGGAGGGGGCAAAACATTTGCAGCATGAACCGGCTCTAGACGAGAAGGCAGAGGCCCGCAGGACGGAGCACTGGGGTTTGAGCGCCCCCGGGGCTGCCCATGTCCACAGCAAGAGCCCACAGGTGCCCCGCGTCACGAGGAAAGCCTTCTGTTCTCTGCCCAAGAAATCGGTGTCGGTGCTGCACATGGGATTGGCAGTGAGAGTCAAAGAGGCGCCAGAAAGTTTCTCTGATTTTTATCACCTCGCTTCGCAGGTCAGTGTTTGTCCGAAAGTTTCTATGTGAGAGGGGACGGCACGAGAGTTTACTTCTTCACACAAGGTACAAAAACGCTCCTCTTTACATGTGCCAGTGTCCCCCAGACACCAGCTTGGACATTGCTCTGTTCACCCTCAGAGGGAAGACTGGGGGGCCCCTCCCGCCTTTGGCAGCCTTTTCTTGCCGTTCATCCCCCTGCGCTCAGCCGCCCGGGACCCGCTCACTGCTTCCAGGAGCCTTCCGCCCTCCGCAGGGCCCTTCTGCTGTCTCCTCTTCCTCCCTGTCACTCTGTCCCAAACAGGAAGGCTGTCCCATTTTGCGAGACTTAAGTGCAACTGGTGTCACCCTGCAGACTGGGTCATCCTATAGGTGCCCGGAGCCAGGCCTGTGCTCCCCGGCTCCAGCTGTAGCCCAGAATGGCTCTCCTCGGTGGCCAGCCCTGCCTCTCATGCCCACTGCCATTCCGGGACCCTTTATTGTGTTGCTTTGTTGAGCCCTGGGTGAAAGTGGCAGAACCTCTCCCCTAAAAAAGTGGCTTTGTTATTACATTTGTGTAGATTTTTGCATGTCATCTTAAGGTGTCCATAAAGCCCTTCTGGAACATTCCTCCCCTGAGCTGACTCTTCAGCTCTCCCTCTGGATATCAAGCTGCCCTTTGCAGATGGTTTGGGTTCCCCCGTTTAAATGCGAGCTTGCTGTTACCAAGCTGCTACTGCATTTATAAATAAACAGCCCGGCTCAAGCCACTTGAAAAATATAAATAAAAATGGTCTCACAGAGCCCCATTAAACATAGGAAGTGGTAGACAATGTTTTTTCTTCAGCGGGAAGTACATAAACATCTCTTTTCCAAACCAGAGGAGCTGGACACGCTTTTCACTGCCGCTGGACTGGAAAAGGTTCAGAACCTGGTGGATCGCCGACTGCAAGTCAACCGAGGGAAGCAGCTGACAATGTACCGGGTTTGGATTCAGTGCAAATACCGCAAGCCTCTTGTGTCTGGTGCTGGCCCAGAGCCACCCGTTGCTGACAGGATACTGAGTTCATCGGCGGTTTTTTAAGAAAGAACATTCACAAACGGTGTTTCGTTGATCTTATAAGTTCAAGGATTCAGACTTGAACTTTGAACCTCGAACAAATCTTTTTTTTTTTTATTCTAATAATTGCCCTTATTTGTGAAGCCCTTTACTATATACTTTCCTTAAGGATTTGTGGGGGAGGGGGGTCTTTTTCTTTTTTCTTTTTCTATTTTTTTAAGCAGGCTCCGTGCTTGGCATGGAGCCCATCACCGGGCTTGAACTCACAACCCTAAGATTAAGACCTCAGTTGAGATCAAGAGTCGGATGCTTGACACTGAACCACCCAGAAGCTCCCTCAGAATCTTCCTTGCCATTTTGTAATTTATCATAACTAAAATGGTCATGGAAATGAACTTAAAGGCATCAAGAATTTATTATATATGAATATAATAAATCAAGACATTATTATGTATTATCAATAACAGGTCACTTGACTGTAAGTCTCATTAAATTATTTCAGAGTTCAGATACGTAAGCTAGGCATTTGATATATACAAAGGTCAATAAAAGTTTCATTCAACGAGAAGCACATCAAGAAGAACCATCTTTCTTTGGATAAAAATACTGCTTTAAAGAGTGTCAAAACGAGTCCTTGTGTATTTATTTGGTTATGGTCGCCACTTAACCTTAGTTCTGTGGAATTTTAAGCACTGTTTCCCTTATAACCTCTTTATAAAAAATTAAAAGAATTTTGACTTTTAGCAAAATTGTCTCTTTTTTTATTTTTTATTTATTTATTTTTTATTGTGCTCCTAAATGTTTGACACAAAAGGCATTGAGAGAACTTTAAGGATTGAGAGAGAGAGCGGGGATGGGGGAGCTGGGAAGGGGGCAGAAAGAGAATCTCAAGCCAGCTCCCCACTGAGCTCAGAGCCTGAGGTGGGTCTCGATCTCACAACCATGAGATCATGACCTGAACCAAAATCAAGAGTTGGATGCTTAACTGAGCCACCTAGATGCCCCTGATAATTTTGAATTTAAAAGTAACCAATTACCAAGAATATTACAAGAATAGGCCATTTTCTTCTGAATCTTTTAAGATTAAGTGGGTTGCAAGGCGATATCCCAACACTCCTGCATATTTTAATGCGTAATTCCCATAACTGAAGATGTTCTATATCACCAAATAAATCCATCAGAAGTAAAAATAAACCTGAAAACACTACCATCCACAGATTTTCCCAATGAGCCCAATAATACCTTCTATCACCAGAAAAATGTTGCACGGAGTAGTCCTGTCTCCGTCTCCTATAGTCTGGAACAATCCACATTTGTTTCAATGACCTTGACATTTGAAGATTACAGGCTGTTTTGCAGACTGTCCCTCAGTTTGGGTTTGTTGATGCTTTTCTCAGGGTTTGGGTTCCAGTTACACATTTCTGGCAGGAATATCGGTGGTTCTGTGCTCCTCCCACTGCATCCTATTGAGGTAACAGAATTTTGAATTACCCTGCTGGTGGTGGTAACCTTGATCCCTTAATGGAGGTGATGGTATTTCATTTATCTTTTGGAAGCAAGAACAGATATATTAAATGATCCACTAAAACCTTCCTTTGGCATCTCTGAGGCACTTCAAAGTAACAGGAAGAGGTTTTACTCCATCTTCGGGCCACCGGGCTTGGGTTTTGGGCTTAAAGTATAAAAAAAATGAGCCTCTTCCTGCCTGTTGCTCTCTTTTCTTCTCTGTCATCTGCTAAGCTCTCTTCCCTTCCTCTCTGACTTTTTAATCTGTCAAGCTACCTCAAACTCCGTAAGGGACTCGGCATAACTTTTTAGCCTTGGAATCACTAGTAATGGTCCGAGGAAAATTAAATATGGTCAGGGAAAGATGAGAGTATGGCGGGGCACCTGGGTGGTTCAGTCGTTAAGCAGCTGCCTTCAGCTCAGGTCATGATCCAAGGGTCCCAGGATCGAGGCCCACATCGGGCTCCCTGCTCAGTGGGAAGCCTGCTTCTCCCTCTCCTGCTCCCCCTGCTTGTGTTCCCTCTCTTGCTGTGTCTCTTCTCTCTGTCAAATAAATAAACAAAAAATCTTAAAAAAAAAAAAAAAAAGAAAAAGAAATGATTAGAGTATGACTTTGGTGCCACTCAAAAACACATAGACTGTCCAGACAATAGGTCTGACTCCCAAAAGTATCACTTGGTATTCTTTTTTTTTTTTTTTAATATAGTCAACAAGCAATGTTACGTCAGTTTCACATGTATAACACAGTGATTCAACAGCTCTGCGTTATGCTGTGTGGAGCTCCCAATGTGAGCATACAACAGTCCTCTAGTCGCATTGACTCTGTTCCCAAGGCTATGCCTTTCATCCCCCTTCTTCACTTCTTCCGTCCTCCCCGTCTGGCAACCCCCAGTTGGTACTTTGTATTTTCAGGTCTGATCTCTTGATATTCTTGGTGCAAGAAAAATGCCGCGCTGGCTGGGAAGGCAGCTCCACGTGTGAAGCTGCTCAGGAAGTTTTGTGGTTTAGATTCGGGTCGAATGGAGAAGTTTCTGAAACCTGCTGCTCTGCCTACGTAGTCGTAATTTGGCTGAGGAGATAAATTTGATGGTGTTTGGAAAATGAATAACAGTTTAATTTGAGACCAGTGCTCTGGAACCACGGGAGTAAAGCCACGTTGGCAAAGCCACGTTGGCACCCAGGGTCAGGCATCTGGAGAGTGCCAGCTCTTGCCCTGTGAACCTATTCATCGTCGGGGCCTCATCTGCTTCATCCTGAGCCTGGCCTCTGTGGGCGGGGCCACACCTCTGCTTTGCGTTGACTCCATGACCCGCCTTCTGGTCAGTTCACTCTCTTGGGCTCCCGCAGGCAAATTAGGGCCTTGGAAACTTAATCAGGAAAGGAAAAGCTAATGTATTAAGACATTCTACTTTCTACTTTTCTCCAGCTGATTCCTACCTTTACTATGTTATTTTAGTAATAGCGGGGAGTTGTATCTGTGGCTTAAAAGATGAGCCCGGGGCAAACTGCTTCTTTCACTCTATTCACAAAGGTCTGTTCTCTGGTTTGTGGCTTCGGCTGCTATTTTCAGAGCCCAGCTGCACTGATGCGTCGCCGGCTCTTTCTACGCTTCTGAAGCTGGCGTGCAGGTTGATGTGGGGACCTTGGGGAGGCGGTAGAAGAAGCCCTCGCAGTAAGTTTCATGGGTAAAAACACTGCAGGGGTGCGCCGTGGCCAGCTTACGTCATTTCCATAAATTTCTAGGTCCAAGATTGGACATTGTCTCACCTGTAGTCAGTGGAACCAAGTGTGTGATCAAGTCACCGAGCAAACAGCCACAGTCAGATCCCGGGCCCCAGCAGGGGGGACCTAAGACACAGAAGCCAGTAGCCTTGACAAAGGCTCGAACTCCGCAGCTTCACCCCAAGGTGAGCCTCCAAATTGCATTCAGTCCTTCATTCCCCACCTTCCTTCCTCTGAGTTTGGATTTCGTCATTAAAACTTAAAATATCCTGGGGCACCTGGGTGGCCCAGTCGGTTAAAAGTCCAACTCTTGATTCGGGCTCAGGGCGTGATCTCAGGGTTGTGAGATCAAGCCCCCCATTGGACTCACACGCTGGGTGTGGAGCCTACTTAAGATTCTCTCTCCTCCTTCTGCCCCTCGCCCACAAAATCATAATAAAAATTAAATAACTTACATTCTTGAATTTAAGTCAGCTGCTTAAATCCCTGAGCCACCCAGGGTGGTATTTTTTTTTAATATTTTATTTATTTATTTGACATAGAGAGAGAAAGAGGGATCACAAGTAGGCAGAGAAGCAGGCAGAGAGAGAGAGAGGGAAGCAGGCTCCCCGCTGAGCAGAGAGCCCGATGCAGGGCTCGATCCCAGGACCCCAGGATCATGACCTGAGCTGAAGGCAGAGGCTTTAACTCACTGAGCCATGCAGGTGCCCCCAGGATGGTATTTTTTAAAATAAATATATTTATATATTAATTATATTATATATACATATATATTACATATACAAGTATATATATAT